TCCATCCTCAGTACCAGACAAGAACAAAAAAGGGAGATATGTGTTGAGATGGTTACCTCAGTAATGTTTTGAGCCTGTGGAAATTCAGTCACATAGTATTTTGTATAGAGAAAACAGAGCTTAGGCCAGGGGACTCGGGGGGGTTAGATTCTCTGGCAGAACATGCTGGCTCTTCACCTCAGCTGGGAAGAGAGAGAGAACCATGGGAGGGGCTGGGCCGCAGTCATAGGAAGCAGAATCAGAGGTGGTCAGTAGAAGGTCTGCCTGACTCAGGACTGATGCTGAAAAGGCACTGAGGTGCTGGGGGAACTCTGAAAGCACATTTGATGTTCAGAAGTGATGTTTACCACACAAGAGCAGCTTCCTGACTTCTGAGAGAACATGGCGGATAGATAACAGCAGCTACAGGGGCTCTCTGAAATAGCCAGCTTAGATTCCAGGAATGGTGCAGTGTGGGGAGTCTTAAGCAGGAGGAGACATACCCTGCCAACCCAGGAATGAACTAAGCTGAGAGAAACCAACTGGAAATGCAATCCTGGTACTACGACCGGAACAGCTAAAGCCTCAGTGCCGAAGCTGGAACCAGCGCCTCTGGAAACTGTGGCATGAACTTTCTGCCACTGCTGGTGCATCTGAATTGGCACAGCAGGGATAGAAACACAAAAGGTCTGAGAGTAGGAATCGGTGAACTGAATTGAGAGCAGAGCTGGAGGGGAGCCTTGCATCGACCTGCAGTGAGAGGAATGGGGACCCTTCCCCAGACTAGTAGGCTCTAACAGAGGACATTCTGGGACTGGGCAGACTAGCCAGAACAGAACAGAACAGTGACTTCCGTCACATATTCCCCTCTCAAGCGGGATTGGTGGGGAGCACTTGACCTGGGTAACGCCGCTGACCAAGACTCAGTAGGCTGGCCCAAACCAGGTTCCTGCACCTGGCAGTGCACCCTAATGCAGTGAAGCCTTCAGCAGGTTGACTGACCTGGAGGGGCGGGCCCAGCATAGGCTGCCCAGGTCTGTGTCTCCCTAGTACACTGCAGTGGGTGGGAACAACTAGCAGGGGTGATTCAAACAAACTGTAACTGAAAAAGAAAGAAACTGGGCCTTCTATATATGCTTGTATGGAAGGAACAGAAAGTATGGGAAGAGGGAGCAATAAGAAGGGGTCCTCAGTCTCCAATCCTAAGAACACCGATCCAGGAAAGGTAAATGCAAAGGAAAATGAGGACAAAAAACACGCAATATCAGGCACGGCACCAATAGACATAAAGCGCTATCTCCAGGACCTCATAGATGAGTTCAAAAGTGAAGTACTTAACAAACTAAGGCAAGATACAAGTAGAATAGTTACAGAAATGCTAAGCATCTCCCAAGAAAAAACAAATGGTGGAATGGAAGAACAGAAAAAAAGGGGAGAATTGTTTGATGGAGAAAATAGAGAAAACATAGAATACATGAAGCAAGTTCAAAGAAATTACCAGGAAACTAAAAACTCTATTGAAATCTGGCATAACAGCTTGAAAGAAACTAAGGATAGATTATCTGAATTGAAGGACAGATTTGTAATGTGGGAGCATGAAAGGAAAAAACTTCTTAAAAATAACAAGGAAACACGCAGTAACAATACAAAGGCTAGAAAATGATAAGAGGATCTATAACTTAACAGAATTAAGAATATAAAGGAAGAAGCACGGATACAAACAAATGAACTGCAAAGACTATTCACAGAAATAATCAAGGAGAACTTCCCTAATATGGGAAAAGGTAAAGATACTCAGGTCTATGAGGCATACAGGACCCCGGCCACCTACAACCCAAGCAGAACTACACCCAATCATATAATAATCAAAATTCCAGGAATCCAGTATAAGAACAGAATATTAAAAGCTGTCAGAGACAAGAAACAGATCACTTACAAGGGAACACCCATCAGAATTACAGCAGACTTCTCGGCACAAACCATCCAATCATGAAGAGCATGGGGGCAAAGTAATTCAAGCTTTGAAAGACAATAACCTCCAGCCAAGATTGATATATCCTGCACAACTGTCCCTAGAAATTAATGGAGAAACAAGGTGCTTCCAGGATAAAGAGGAACAAGGGGAATTTGCAACCACCAATTCAACTCTACAGAGAATACTGCAGGGCATTCTAAAAGAGAAAAATACCAAGATTCCAGAAACAGTGGCAGAGAGGCCACAATGAATGGAGCAGAAAGCACAATGAAGAAGACAAACTGACAACTAATGACAGAAAAAGAGCTCAACAGAAATGAGGCAGAGAAGATTGGATGGTATGAACAGCTATTTTGGAGAAAAGACATCATAATAGCTAGTGCTGTTTTAATATCTTGTTTTGAAGTCCCACCAAGCTTTTGTTCTTCTGTCCCCATCAGTCTTAACATATTGTATCTTATTGGATTTTATTATATGTGATAATATAAACAAAAACTTTTATAGACAAGGAGATAATACAGAAACCATTGTTCATTTTGTTAGTTGGTTCTAAATACCTTGTAATACAGTCATTCTCTTGAATGATTTTACATTGTCTTGATATGTTTCATGCTACAGTATATGAAGTTATACTCAAAGATTTCAAGGCAAGAGACACTATGGTAACTACTTTTATGTCAGGATATTTTGTGGTGAAGCACTATTTTGCTTACATGGTTATGTTTTGACCTGTGCTGTTTTGTTAACATGTCCTCTTTTATCTCAATCTCCTTTTTTATTATTTATTTTTATCTTTTTAAGGGAAAAATAAAAAATAGCAGGATATATTACAACCCTCTTTGGTTTCCTATTAACTTGATTTGAAACCCTGTATTAATCTCACCATCTTGTTTTGACTGATTTTCCTCTATTCTGTTTTGCTTGATAGTACCAAGGCAACAACTGTGAAGACAGTAAGATTCACTATGATGCGCATTCTGGTTTGACTATTATCTTCTTTTGAAATCCTGTAATGTCTCCAATATTTTAATTTTATTGGTTCTGTTCTGCACTGTTTTGTTCAATTTTATTATAACTGATGATATAGGCAATTCTTTTTAAGATAGCAAGAGGCATTATGGTAACCATTGTTGATCACTTTGTATTGTTTTTACATTATATACTATGTCCATCTTTTTGATTTGACTGACTCTGTTTTGTTGTATCACATTTGGTTTTATTCTCTTCAAAAAAAAAAGTAATAACTGTGGGAGTAATAAAACCCAAAATGTGTAATTGTCATTGTAAAAAAGAGAGGAAAAGAAAGGGCTCTAAAGGATATAATTGCATGTATATTTAAGCATATAAGATAGATAACCATATTACTGAGTTTTTGTTGAATCATTTAACAAAAGTGTTTGCAGTGTCACTGTTTGAATGTCCACTTTATGCTTTAATTTTGTAACTTGAACAACTATTTCTAAGATGACAATATGTAATCTATTAACTAGTGATTTCCTGGTTTTTTTGAAATTCTGTATAACTTGTACCCCCTTTTTTTTTCTTCTTAAATTAAAAAAAAAAAGAGCAGGTTCCTGTGAGGTTGTGAGCTGGGACTGCCCCTCAACAGATCCTCACATGACAGTTCTGTGCAAAACACCCACAAACATCCTTGCAGATTCCTGGATGCAAGAGGGCTGAACAGCTGTGTATCCCAGGGCATCTTTAAATGTGCCCATCTCAGAGCTGTTGGGATTTCTGCCTTCAGGTGTTAGCCCCCTTCCCCCTGCCCACAATCAGGTATGGGCAGTGTATAGTGGGGTTAGGCTTGAGCCCACCCATCCTAAGGGATGTAGGGATGGAAATGAAATCCCCCCAACACACACACCCACAAACAGATGGATAAAGAATATTGAAAAGAATGGCAGAGACATTTTGGCAATACAATTTAATAGTGCCCATTGCTTCCAGGAAAAAGACCTTTGTCAATAGTCACTGCTGAGTGAAACCATGCATAATGGCAGGCAGAATTCCAATAAGTGCTTCTACTTTCAGGAGCCACTGATTGTTATGCTAAGAATTCCTTCTCATTGAGGAAAGACTTGAGGACCCTCCTAGCAACTCTCATGTTTACCCAGCAAACTGGATGGCAGAGGTGTAAATAATCTCATTTTAGTTTCCCCCATCACCTGCTTCTTGGGACTGTATGAGGAGGGCTCCCTGACAGTGCTGCCACCACTCTGTGGCAGGAAGTGACTACGACAATATGCCAGTTATTCCCAAAATGGCCTCTGTGCAACCCATATGTGGATGGTGCAAGAAGCATCTACTACACAGTGTATACACAGCCTAAAACTGTATCTGCCAACTAGTCTAGTGCCTGCAGAAGCTTGACAACTTTATAGACAAAAGCAAAAAGTTCACACACATACAAGTCCCTTACTGGTTACTTCAGACAAAAAGTATTGCATCTGCTTTATTTTAGGAGTTTAAGGCCACAAAAAAAGGTGGTTAGAGGATTTTCACTTAGATTGCAGAGGACCCTTACGGCCTAACCCTCCTACCAAAGCCGATACAGTAGAAGTATAGGGAGAAAAAGATGGGGCCAAAGCCAGTTTCTATGATCTATTTTCTGCTTTTCTAGACTTCGTAAAAACGTGGGTTATTAATAGTAGCATTTAGCTGAAAACTACATCTGGCTATTTTTTTTAAAGTCAAAAACAAAGGATAGATGATGAAGACAAGAGGAGCTGGCAGGCACAGCACTGAGATGCGGTGGAGAGTATCCAGGCTCAGTGTACCCTGCCCCTTAGTACCCTTTCTTTTGGTCTCCTGGCCTACAGCAATAGTGAATACAGCTCAGTGAGGGAGAAGCATGTAACCAGCTGCTCTTGCCTGATCTGAAGCAACAAGGAGCCAGATTTCATCCCACCTCAAACTCTGGCAGAGTAGAATGCTCTGTTAGAACATATACTTGGACAAGGTGGGCAACCACATGCGCTAAAAAAGTATACTTCAAAATATGGCAGTATGACTATTAAAAGGAAGACCCCCAATGAAGTATGAAAACCTTTACCAAAAATAGTTTATTGCACAAAATTTAAGGAATTCCCAAGCACATTTATATTCATAAAAAAATCAACATGCTTTTTAAAGGTACAAACTGTTACACATGGTGACACCCTTTCCCAGAACTGCATCAGTCTTATCAACTCTATTTTGTGAGTTTTTTTTTTTTTTTTTTTTTTTTTTTTTTACCAGAAATGGGTAATCAAAACCACTGAATTTTTGAGACATGTGAAGACAGCCCTCAAGCATCCTATCCAAAGCCATAGACTGAAATAGAGTGAGACACACCACAGAGTTATTTACATCAGGGGCCTCTGAAAGGAATGCCCCATGACAGTTCCCTTTCAAATATGCAGTTCCCTTTTACTTCCAGAATCTTTACACACAACACTTAAATTTTTGTTAAAAAAAATTCATGGAAATATGAATAATGTATGTTATTTTGTAGGGTCACAGCATTTGTAGTATCCCTATACCAAGGAAAAGACGTTTAAACTGAGAAAGAGTTTATTATAAGCTTCCTGATGTGGTGTCCTATGCTGTCTTCTTAGGAGCCAACCCTGTTCCTTGGACCCAGACCTGAGTGGTTCATACACTACAAAAACACTGCCTGTTACTTCTTCCGAAAAGTGGAGCAAAGGTGTATAAATCTGTGAGATCCGTGGCATTGACCTAACATATATCATGAAAAAAACTTGATGAAAACCAAACCAAAATAAATTTTTTGAACATAAGAAAAACAAGTAACATCCTAAGTCCCCAAGCCAACACTGCCTGCAACAGGAGATGACACAGTGTGTTCCTGAATCACACACACATCCACTGCAATGGAAAGCTGTCTCACGCAGTAACTACTCCAGGCCTGCCTAGTCTCCCATGAGTGAATCTCAAAACCCCTACTTCTGCCCACAAGCACAATCTTTGGAGTTCCTGAAGAATCTAGCTCTGGGAGGATGAAGCACAGGAGAGTCCTCTGGAGATAGGAAAAACCCCTCAGCAATCAAAAGCGGACCGTTTACAAACCCAATCTCTCTTCAAGACAACTTTGCAAGGAAGCAGACAAGCAGCACCAGCTTGAGCACAGGGCCTTAGGTCCAGCACTATAAGCATGCTCAAAACCAACACAGACAAGGCTAGGGCCAGGACAGCCAGGCCCTTGGAACCAAGAGCGCCAGGCAATGGGGCTGGTACAGGCTGGTGGTGGAGCCAGGTGCAAGGGACAAAGGGCTGCAGAGCCAAGGGGCTGCTCTTCCTAAATGGAGGAGTCAGGATAGCCTACTCTTTCCCCAGAGGAAAGCACGGTGGCTCGGGAGAAGGCAGCTCTTGCCACAGAATGTGCGCAAGGGCTACTTCTGGTGTAGGACTAAAACAAAAGATAATATAACCAAAATAAATAAGGTGAATTACCATTTCTCTTTTCTAATGGTATAAGAACAGTTTAGTCAAAAAAATGTCCAACATAGACAAAAAGTAGGATATATTTATAATGAAGTTTTCAAGTGTTTCTTCAAGATTAACCCTGTACAAATAATATATACATTTAAGAAATTACAATACTTCTAGGGAATTTTTTTTTAACCACCAAACATCTTTGTGGTTAACCACTTTAACTATATCAACTAGCCTTCTAACAGTGTATTACAAAAGAACACAAACAGCTTAAAAATTCCTTGCTGTTTTCTCCACAAAATAGATACAAGCAATCTACTCTACTGACAGCACACTGGGCCTGATCAGCAGTAACTCCAAAGCCTCATTGTCAGAGGGTCCTGGACCTCCCTCCTTCTAACCTGCAACAGTAAGTACTGTATTAGATTTTCTTAGTAAACTGGGGGTGGAGGTTGGGGAATTAAAGACCTCGTCTTTCCCAGCCAGACTCTACCGCGTTAGATCCTTACGCCGGAAACTGTCATGCTTGGTGTGGATCTTAAATAAAGCATCAGACTCTGAGGTCCTACTCTGAGGAAACTGCAGGGACCTTGCCCGTGGCACCTGCGAGTTTCTCCAGACCTCACAGTTGACTCCAGGGGACGCTAGCATCTGTGTCACAGGTCCTGGTGAACACCGTCACAGGAGGCCTACAGTCCACACGAGGGTCAGGCTCTCCTCCTCCTCTGCTTTCTCCCATACTCTTGCCTGCATGACAGGTCACTGTGCGGACCTTTGTGTCCTCATTTCACCTGATCAGCATTTAACCAAAGTGGACCACAGCAGGTCAGCAGCCTGACAGGCCAACGCTATAAACTGATGAAGAGATTGGGCAGGAAGAAAAGACCTCCAGAAAAAAGTGAAAAGAAAATAACAAAGAATATATATACATATGTATGTATGTATGTATGTATATATATATATATATTTTTTTTTTTTTTTTAAAGACAGGGTATCTGTATGTAGTTTAGGCTGGCCTGGACTCACTATGTAGCCTAGGCTGGCCTCAAACTCGAGGTGACGGGGCTGGGGATTTAGCTCAGCGGCATAAGCGCCTGCCTTGCAAGCAGGCAGTCGTGAGTTCGTTCCCTGGTACCGATAAAAACAAAAAACACCAAAAAAAAAAAAACGAGGTGATTTTCCTGCCTTCGCCTCCCACGTGCTGGGCTTACAGGTGTGTGCCACCCACACCCAGCTCAAAGAATCTTTTCTGTGCAAGAATTTTGGCTTTAGAAGGTACAGTAAATAAAATATACTTCTTAAAATATAGTTTTTTGACTGACAACCTTAAATCCTATATATACATTATTTCTGAACAGCAAATTTTCAAATGGCAATCAATGAAAAGATAATCAGGTCTTTCTTAAATAATATATGCTTATGCTTGTATAAGATTATGATTTTCAATTCTTATATACACATCCTACAGTAGGATGGCTATTGAAAAAAAAAAAGAGTGCAATCAAACATTTCAGCAGGAAACTAAAGCTCTTGCTAAGTGGGATGGTTCTCCCATCAGCAGTTCAGCTGCCTGGCAGTTCTTGCCCAGACACCCTGTCCTGAAAAGCCTCCACCAGGAAACAGTTGGGGTACAAGTGTCGCCCATACTTATTGATACCTCCTCTTGCACAAAACCCACCAGACAGACATCCAGAAACTCTCTCTTCAACTCTAAATTTAAGGGGCTTCTAAGATTTGGTCATTTTATGAGAAAAGTTAGCTGTGGTTCCCAATGACTATTTCTTTAATCCTTGGCTCTCTTACTCTGTTATTTTACTCATTAAAGGTAAAAGCAAAACTTAAAATTTTCAACTCTCAGGAAAACGAAGAGCATATAATTAAATAAATATTGGAAATGGCACATTCCTTCACGCAGTTCCATGTTGCCCTTGATGGTGTTAGTGTCACTGCTCCAGGCCTTCTTTGGGTATCCTGCCATGACCCTGCTGCTGGGTATCTCCCCGGGGGTGGGCATGCTCTGCTGCGGGGGTTTCCACCTGGGTCCAGGAGGACAGGGACTCATGCACAGTGATGGTGTGCTCCTCCATCTGCCGCTGCAGGCTGTCCATCTCCTGCCTGGGAAGAAGGAAGAGGCAAGGAAAGAGATCCAGATCATACAAGGGCCAGACATAAGCCATTGTCCACAGCCTCCTCTGACAAACCTGAGGTGATGGCACCTTGATTTCTAGTATAGGTAGCACCTCAGAGGCCATAGAACCCCTAACCAGAGCCAGCAGAACCATCAAGGTTGGAGGTCAGGGCTCTTGATCTTCCCTCCACCCTGTGTTTCAGCTTCAGGCAGATACCTGGAGCCATGCAAATGACAGACCTGATGGCCCGATGCCAACCAAGTCACTGTGATAGTTGCTAACTGAGGCAAGTCTCACACATAATTTCCACTATTTGGTCCCTGTCTCTGTGGCCCCACATGACCATGACACTGGCCTTTTCCTGTCTGATAGCTGATGGATGCAGAAAGTCAGCGCTTTGCTTCATGAGGGTGCACAGAAGCAACTCACTCCCAGAAATCTTCACCTCACGAGATGGAGCAGAGGCCCTACCCATGAGAAGACCCTACTTCCTGACCACTTGCAGCATTGCTGCCTTCCTGCCACAAGCAACTCCTCCAACTCAACTCTGCCACACATCTTTACAGCTAATTCAACAGGGCACAGAACATACTTGAGCTGCTGCAGACAGCTGTTTAGGTTCTTAAGAGGCTCCTTGCTGACAGTGGGTGGAGGTCTCAGCAGCTCCTCTAGCAGTGAGGCAGGGACAGGGCAGTCAGGGATCTTGATGGGTGTTGCTGGGCTGGAAGAGCTGGCTTCATTCTTTGGTTCTTTCCTCTGTTTGAAAAAGCGTATCATTAGCTACCCCAAGTGCCCTGTCAGTCAGATGGGTGCCTGCTTGATGGGGACCTCTGCCAGGTCACTCTCCTGGTCTTTGTATCAGTACAGCCTGACCATACAGGAATTCAAAGAATATTGGGTGAAATGGGTATGGAGGCACAAGCCTGTAATCCTAGCACTCTGTGAAGCTAAAATAAGAGGAACAAAAGTTTGAGTCTAGTCTAGGCAGCTTAGCATCTTAGCAGGGCCCTGTATCAAAATAAAAAATACTTAAAAAATTGCGGGTGTGCTGGGGATGTAGCTTGGTGCAAAGGCCCTAGGTTCAATCTGCAGTATAAAAAAAAAAGGAAGAAAGGAATGTAGGTAACTTTGATCACAGGTGGCAAAGCTTTATTCATAATACACATAACAAAGCACAAATGATCTATGTCTGGACACTCAAAGAGGATGTGGCTAAGCCCTAAAATGAAGCTCAGGCAGGAGCTCCCCAGGCACAGCTCCTACTCTGAGCTTTCCTAAGGGATTAAGTAGTACTCCCAACCTACTAGACTTCCTTCTCTATGACAGATACATTTTTTTCCCCCTCTTCTTCAAGGAGATTGACCCCAGGGACCTACATCTCCAGTACTTTTTATTCTGAGACAGAATCTCAAGACAAATAAGTTGCCTAGGCTGGCCTCAAACTTCTAATCCTCCTGTCTCAGCCTCCTGAGTAGCTAGCACCACAGGCCTACATCACTGCACTCAGCTAGAACATATAGCTTTTGACAGATAGCAAATTATGCTAAATAACCTCTGAGTCAGTGAGAGCTCTTTGCCCTTCCCCACTGTAGTGCTCATGTGGACTGAGTGGAAACCTGCTGCCATGCTGGTACCTGTGTAGGGCTGGCAATGTAGCCTGGGGCTTGACCGAAGCTACACGTTCACTGTGGCAGAAGAGCAGGGCCTCTCCTCCACAACCACTCTTTCAACTGGCTTATAAAGCTTATTACAACAAAATGGTATTTGGATTCATGAAAAGCAGCCTTTTCTATTGGAAAAGGCAGCAAAATACAATGAATTACCCTGGTGTCCAAGTAGAATCTACTGTTACCTTTTTTTTTTTTTTGCTTTTTGAGACAGGATCAGACTATGCAGTTCAGGCTGGCCTTGGGTTCACTCTGTGGCCCAGGCTGATCTGGAATTTGCCAACAATTCTCCTCCCTCAGCCTCCCAAGTGCTGTGATTAGAGGTGTACCACCACGCCCTGTTCATCATTTATTTTTACACGTAACTATCTAGCAGACACAGGTTAGCTCAGACACAGGTTAGCTCAGAGGACACAGGCAGGCCTAAGCCCTACCTTGGCCATGCCTCGGCGGAGATCCTGGTGGAGTTGCTGGTTTTGCTGAAGTAGAGTCTTCATGTTGTTCTTTAGCTCAGATACTTTAGCTTGGAGCATGAATTTATCCTTCTGGGTCGTGGACAGGTCTTCCTGCACCATCTCCAGCTCAGACCTGATATTCTATGGAGAGTGAATTCAGATTTTTAAAAGCAAGATCTAAAATACTGCTGAGACCTTGGTTTGTATGTCATTTCTGGTGGAGTGATTTTTATCTGTTGAAGGTTTTTATGATAGTTCTAACTGGAAATAAGGAGAATAGCTTCTGGATTTTCAGGATGAGTCTTGAATGGGGTGCCCCTGGACTGACTTTTATAGGATGGAATGTGACATGTCTCCCTTTCAGGAGTTTCCTTTCTATCCACCATGACTGTGAAGGGTCCAGGAACAATCACATCTCAAACTCCAGAGCTAAACTCACAAACAAGCATTATCCATCTGGTTGCCTTCCACGACAGCCCCAAGAATATAATTATTCCTGGGAGTTAAATGAGCTATGACTGTGACTGTGGTTATTTCCTTCCATGTGAGGAATCTTAACAAGTCCTTCTGATCAAGGGAGAACTCTGCCCCACGTCTTTGCAGAGAAGCTGACTCAGGGGACAGTCACTTGCCACAAGTATCACCAGATCTCAGAAACAGACACCTGTAGCAGCTGCTGTGTTCCTTCCAGCTCCTTCCTGCCCTGCTGCTCTGATAGGTCCAGCTGCTGCCTCACGGACTGGAGCTCTCGATCCTTCTGATCCAGCTCCCACTTGAGATTTTCCATCTGAAGAGAGAAAAATCATACGAATGAGAGAATTATAAAATGGTGTTCTTATACTGGAACATGGCTATATGCTATTTCTGCTTATCTTTTAATATTTAGCAAAACATAAAAGATTCCATTCTGAGCACACGCGGCCCAACTGTCACCTCTTGGCTCCCCACAGGCTGTTGACTCAGTTGCTCATCCAGCTGTTGCTGCAGGAGCTGGAGCTTGGTATGGGCCTCTGCCAGGTCTGCCTGGAACTGTGCTATCTCCTGAGAGTGTTTTCCCTCGCGAATCCTGGCATTAGAAAAGGTAAGAATGAAATAACAGCACCTTCCCAGCTTGTCCTCTACTCTGAACGTGGCCTTTGTATTACAGCTATCCTGGTGAGCTCCTGACTGCTCAGCTCAGGCTGCAGCCAGTGCTGTGTGCTTACAATATTGTCCCTGGCTCTGCAAAGCCCTCTGGAAGCTCTGTCTACACCATTCAGGGTATGGTGTTGAGCGCCCAATCCCCAGACCACAGTAGGTAGAGAACCCTAAGGCTATGGAGTAGATACATTTATCCCGAGGCCTGGTGACGCCCCAACATGTCTGAGTTTATGCTGTACTAGTGTGGAGCTACAAGGACCTCTCAATGCTCAGGACATCTGAGCAGTCATGCAGATCCCTGTCCCAGGGAGGACGAGTAAGGCAGAAGTGCACTAGGACAAGGAGGCTTCCTAAGACAGAAGTTGGGTGATCTCTCCCTTGGTCCTTAAAACAATGTGGTAAAAGCTGCCAACTGCTTAGTGGGAGACTCCCACTAAGTGGGAGACTTTGGCAGCCTGGCATCTACCAGGTCACCTCGCTGGGCAGGTGGCTTCCTGACCCACTATGTGCTGCACCATGGCCCATCACTTACTGCAGCTCATCAGCCTCGGTCTGCAACGTCTGTACCAGGTGCTCCTTGGCTTGCAGCTCTTTCTTCACCTCGCTCAGTTCCATGGTGGCAGCCTTGAAGTGGCGACGGTTATGGCCAGCTTCCACCCTGGCAGCAGCCACCTATAAAGGAGGAGAAAGCTGGCATTACACACACATGAGGTGCCCTATGGGGCACCTGAGACTGGATGGGCACCAAACACCTGAGTTCCCCAAAAGGCCTGAGAGTGCCTGCTACAACACCCAGCACACAGCAGCAGGATGCAATTGCACATTAGTTCATGACTGTCAAATATCCCCATCTCTCTAGTTAAGTTTATTCATGCATTCTTTTTTTTTTTTTTTTTTTGGTGCCAGGGATTGAACTCATGACCTCACGTTTGCCAAGCAGGCACTTACACTGCTGAGCTAAACCCCCGGCCTATTCATGCATTCTTGAGCAATTTACTTTTCTATCATACTAGCTAACTAATAAACCTATCAAGTCTATTTATCATGTAACTAGTCTCCTTTCTGAAATTTAAAATTTTTCTTTTGGTCTTTTTCGTTTTTATCGGTACCAGGGATCGAACTCACGACTGCCTGCTTGCAAGGCAGGCGCTTATGCCGTTGAGCTAAATCCCCAGCCCCGAAATTTTAGTATTTTTCAGAACCAACACAAATTCTGTCAAAATTTCTAAGAGAAAAGCAAATTCTCAAAAGTATCCAAAACATTTAGATAGGCAAAGTGGCACACTCTTGTAATCCCAGCACTCAGGAGCTAAGGCAGGAGGATCACCTCAGTTTGAGGCCAGCTTGGGTGACAAACTGAGTTCAAGTCCATCCTGAACTGTATGGCAAAATCCTGTCTCAAAAAGGCAAAAATTTAAAAATTGATAAAAAAATAAAGAAATCAAAGTCAAATATACATCATTTATTTCTCCCAGCACTTTTATTTATAAATTTCCCAGTTATGTCTTTTTCTGCATGTGTGTGTTACTGACTCAGGGCAGTGCCACAGCATGCTGCAGTTAACTCCTACACAAAAAGGACTGCAAAAAGCATTTTTCTTATCTTTATATCACCCACATGGGCACTGTGCATGACACAGACACTGCAGGACACAGACACCTGCTCCTAACAGAGATTAATGTGCTTAGCCCATCTCCTTTAGGCCACATGACTGTGTGGCCATCTCATCTGGTGCCAACTTCCCCTGACCAGTGCTAGGTCTTCTGTGGTTTGTCATCACTACATAGTACGGACAACATTGTTCTCTGGAGCAGAGCCCTGGAAAAAGCAGAGTTGAAAAGATACCTCCTAGGCCCCTGTGCGCTATGGGTGGGAAGCTGGACACACACCTGCTCCTTGAGGCTGCTCACTTCCACCTTCTCTCTCTCTAATGAGGCTTGCAAAGCCTGGATGAGCTGCTTCATCTGGCGGTCCTCTTCCTCTTTACGCTGCAAAACTGCCTGCACCTGGACCCACATTGTAGAAGGATGGTAAGGAGGCACTATTGGAAGAAACTTGCAGACCCTATAATAGGCATCATGCAGGAAGCCCTGCAGACTATGCACACACACCACAGAGTATTACAGAGAGGAACACTGAAGCAAGGGGGGCCCTGCTATGACAGCAGGCATCTGAGGTCATGGGTACAGTCACATAGTCCCAGCAATGCACATATGTTGGGTTATAAAAACAAATGCCTTCATGTGTGGCAGTACAGAGTCGGAGTAGTGGGAACCCGGGTAACGGGAATGCTCTCTAGAAAGAGTAAGAAGGCACAATGTGGCCCTCCTTGCCTCTCTGAAGACTCCCAGAAATGCTAGCCATCTATTGGGCCACACAGCAGATGTAGAACCCACGAACTAAGTACAGTCTGGGTAAGACTCAGTTCTGACCCATGTGAGGACACAGGTAAATGTCCACTGATCCTGTGACTGCCTAGAACTGGGAGACAGTCTGCCTTCCCTGCCAGGCTCATCACATGAAAGAATGAATGATTTCTGGTTTCACATGCAGAGGTCCCCATTGCACCCCTGCAACTGAGAGATCCATGCTTGTGAGTTAACCAGATTCTCTGAGCTTTTCTCTCTAAGACAAGGAGCCTGCTTTTCCCTGAGTGCTCATGGAAATGTGATGTGCATGACATAGAGTGCACTTAGCCTACCAGATCTCACTGTCACAGAACCTGGGTCTGAATACCTGGAGATTCAGCTGAACCAGGTCTGCCTCTCTCTTGGCTAGGGCTGTTTCCAAGATGTTATTGTGTTCCCGCAGGGCTGCATTTGACTGTCCGAGGCCTGTGAGTCTCCCTCTCTCATGTTCCAACTCAAGAGCCAACTTCTTATTTGATTCCTCTAGGCGCTTTATCCTCTTTCTGAAGCCTCTGGACTCTTGAAGCTAAAATATCAAAGTGACCAAAATGACCTGCTGTGCTGCATGGAATCATCACATTCCCAGAAACAGGAGGGAGGTTGATAGCACACACTGACATCAATGCATGACTAAGGCTGCAGTGGCCATGGTAGCTGCTCTATAGGGACCTTCCCAGGAAGAGGGTTCAGGGACTGCACAGCCAACAAAGCCACTGCACAGATGAGCATGGAATGGGCTGGTCTCAGCAGCACATTTCAAGATAGGAAAGACAGCTAAACAAAGCAAGCAGCCTGGGAGGGATGACCAGCCCCCTGGTACCACTGGTGGCTCAGAGGCTGGGAAGGAAGTGAGGGGGGCCTAAGGCCTCCATGGCTATAAAGCCCTATGCCACATGAAGCTAGAACTGCTTCTTGTTCTAAGTTCTCTTAATGGTCCTAGTTGGCTTTCCTGTTTGAAACCAAAGCCTTCTAACTGGGAAGAAGTTTCCAGTTTGAATCCCAGAGGCCACTCCAGTAGATACCAATGGCGATCACTGTCACTACCCTTTTTAAAATTGAGATTTTTTTTTTTTTGGTACTAGAAATCAAACTCAAGACCTTGTACCTGCCAGGTAGGTGTTTATGCCACTGAGCTATATCCCCAACTGGATATAGTGCTGGGGATGGTCTACCTTGCCAATGTGCTCTGTGCTAGGCATAGCTCAGGGTTACCTCGTCCTCCAGCTCTAGCACCTTCTCCCGGGACTCCTCTAGCTCCTGGCTCGTCATGGCAATCACCTCCTGCAGCTCCTTCTCCAGCATCAGCTTGCTATGGCCGACGCTCTGCAGCTCCATTTCCAGGGCCCGGATCCTCTCCTATAGCAGATAGGGCAGTGTCTCTGTCACCAATCCAATGAAAGGTCCTCATCCCATGCCTCCCACAAACCTCCAGGTCTGAAGCTGCCTGGTCATGAGCTGATCATGCTCTCACCCCGCCTCCTACTGACCACAGCTCTTACACACTATGATACAAATAGACTATCTACACAGACAATGGATCTTCCCATTAAACAGTAAATGGTGTGGAAAACCAGAAAAAAGTCCAATTCACAGCAAGAGCTCTTTGGTGCATAAGCTGCACTCAGCCATCACGAACACAACAAATAAATGTTCACACATGCGAGCACATGTGTACATACTACGCACACCAGGCACATACTTGCTGCCACCATGCTACAGGTCCTGTCCTAAGCACTCTCCTAGTGCCATTTAACTACCTTCTGAGGAAGGTTCCAATCCTGACCTGCTCTGATTTCCTGACTGAGGAGCAAAGCCATATAGTAACACAACAGACCAAACCTATGACTATCCACAGCTGTAGGTTCTAGAGATTTTACACTCTCTGCCTTACTAGTTGATTCAAAGAATTAAAGAAGAAATATGTATCTTTTTGGTACAAGGACTCGAACTCAGGACTATATGCTTGACAGGCAGGATGAGATATTTTATTTTATTTTTTAACTTTTTTTTTGGTCTTTTTCTTTTTTATCAGTACCGGGGATCGAACTCACGACCACACACTTGCAAGGCAGGCGCTTATGCCGCTGAGCTAACCCCCAACCCCTAGGATGAGATGTTTTAAAGTAATAAGGAAGATTACCATTGAATAGATGCTCCTTAAATTTTTTGATTCCTTAGGGATTGAACCCAGGGCCATGTGCATGCTGGGCAAGTTCTCCATCATTGAGCCACATCTTTTACTTTCTTTTATTCTAAGGTGGGGTTTTCCTAAACCTAGCATGCCCTCAAAGTTGAGATTCTCCTGCCTTAGCCTCCCAAGTAACTGGGATTACAGGTGTGCCCCATCATACCAACACCTTCAATATTTCATAAAGTCACTAGGGCAGGAATATTTACTCATTTAAACAAGAAAGCACCATGTTATGAGATAGTCTCTTCCAACTCATGAACTGTTTAAGAGGACAGGAGACAGGAAAACTTGACATGGGAAATACAATGATGAGCCAGGCGTAGCAACACATGTCTATAATCTCAGCACTCAGGAGTTGAGGCAAGAGAATCACCATGAGCTAAAGGCCATCCCTGGCTATATAGTGAGTTCAAGGCCAGAAAGACCTTGTCTCAAATAAACAGAAGAACAAACTAACAAATAAAAATATAAAAACAAGCAAGAAAAGGAAAAAATACAATGACAAAGAAGTGTAACCAGTATAATGCAAAAAAAATTTACTCAGAATTTAACTCCTTCTAGTAAACAGTGAGATTTAAAGCTGGCAAGGATATGGGACTGTGAGGTGCTGCATGTAAAGACTACAGGGTTATGCATGTGCCACTTCTCACCAGCAAGGCTGGCACAGGGACACTGGATCCCTGTAAGCACCAGCTATCCCTCCATCCCAGGGTAGGACACAGTACTGGCATTCATCCTAACAGATGGAAGCAGGAGGGGCAGCTCTGGCCATAGCTCCTAGCCCAGTCCCCTTCTGAGGGTCCTTCTCCCCATTAATCCTCTTGTGCCTCACTTGGGTTCCAACTCTGTCCGCCCCTCTCCCCCACCACTGCACTGGAGCCTAAACCTGCCATTTTGCTACCCTCTTCTGCTGCCCTTAATGGCCTGCTTCTTGTCCTGCTCTTGCCACCTCTGAGACACTGCCAGAATCAATGCTGCCTCCTGTCTGCCTCTCTTACCTTATTGTCCTAACCCACTGCCTGCCAATGTCTAGGACAGAAGGATGGGAGCATTTCCAGAGGTGGCTGTCTGGGCTTCATTACTGGCAAGGAAGGCCAAGCCTGAGCTCCTCCCACCAAAAATGCCCCCTTTGTCCCTCCATGGCTTCCTCCTCCTCCTGCTAAGCACTGGCCCAGCCTTTCTACATCTCACCCTCAATCAGTCTCTCCGTTGTCCACAGCCTAAGACCCTGGACTACACAGCCAGGGCAGAGTGCAGGGCAGGTCCCACTTGTACCTTGCAGGCAGAGCAGGGTTTTGCCACACCAAGGAGACTCTTTGGTGAAAACAGGTCCCCAGTGCACACTGCCCAGGGCTGATGAGGCCATGGTACCATGCACAAGTCACTAATGATACCTGTAGTATTTCAAAGATATGCAACCCATCCTTTTCAGTTCTACAAAAGTTCCCTTTTAGATGGATTCATAGAGAGAAAATGTTTCAAAAACTTTCTTGCCCTACACTCCAGAATCACAGCAGCTCTAATGGGTGAAGCAGTGTTTACCTACATGTAGGACAGGGTCACTGCCACTGCTGGTGCTCTGGGCTCTCAGCTGGATCAGCTCTGTGTCTGCAGTCTCTTTGGCAGCCAGGGCCTCCTGCAAACGGCGGCTGAGGATGCTCACAGCATTCTCATAGGCCTTGTGCTTTGTCTTCATCTCCTTCTGGGCACTGGTCAGATCCGAGCCCAGCTGTTTCATCTTCTGTTTCTGCTCTGTGATGGCCCTGGGACAAGATGAAAGAGACACAGAGAAGGCAGCTGAGCTCCCATGCCATCACCCAGCTTCCTGGGCCCAGCACTAAGGGTCAGCAAATGACATCCCATTCACCCTCAAGGGCTGTGCAGGGGTCAGACCCAGGCTTACCCACACCCTGACATTTGCCCCAGCCTGGATTGTCAAGGGGAGCATGAAGGCAGGAAGCAGGTACCTGTCCTGGTGGCCCTTGGAGGGGAAGGGTCACCTATTGCAGGTACCTCCACAAAGCCAGAGAGGAAGCAAGAGCTTCATGAGTTTCAGCCTTGTCTGCCAGACCTGCTCTCCTCCTGCAGCATTGTGAATGACTTTTTTAATTGTCTTTCTGAGACAGCGTCTTGCTATGTAGTTCAGGCTGGCCTTGAGTTCATTTTGTAGGATGATCTTGTTGGTGTTTTTTTTCTTTTTTCTTTCTTTCTTTCTTTTTTTTTTTTTTTTTCAGTACTGGGGATTGAACTCATGACCTTGCATGTACCAGGCACACCTGAGCTAAATCCCTGACCCCTGGAATTGAACTTGTAACGATCTTCCTGCCTCAGTCTCCTGAGTGCTGGGATTACAGGTGTACACCACCATACCTGGCTTGAAATGACTTCTTGAGGCAGAGTAACAGCCTGCTCCTACCAAACAGAAGTTCACCCATATTTTTTCTGAAGGTTAGCAAGAAATCCCATGACCATGTTCACAAGGAAAGCGCCCACCAAAAGAGACTAGCAGCACAGAACACAGCATGCAGGTAATAAGCCCCAAAGGCTGTTTGCTCATATGTATGTGCCTATAAAAGCTTGTGTTCAGGGTCATGTGAGAACAAAACGGGTTGCAGGATCAATACCATTGTGTTACCCCTGGTGAGGGAGCAGGAGTGGGAAGATGTGGCCACAAGTATATGGCACGAAAAGTTGAAAAAAATAAATAGCAAGGGGAGTGTCTGGGCTGTGGGCATGGCTCTTGATAGGAAGACATTTAGTAAGCATAGCCCTGGGGTAGATCCCTAGCACCATCAAAAATAATTTAAAAAGGGAGTTCTTGTTAAAGGATGGGTGAGCAAACCAGCTTAGAAACTCCAAGCTGGGAATGGTGATGCATGCCTATAATCCCAGGACTTGGGAGATCAAGGCAGGAAGATTGCCACGAGTGTGAGGCCAGCCTGGGTTACACAGTAAGTTTAAAGCTGGCCTGAACTATATAGCAAGACCCAAAACAAACAAACAACAAATAAACAAAAGAAAACTCTAGGACTATTTTGCAGAAAAAGCAAGTACTCAATGGCAGTGGAACTTTAAACTTGGACCTGAATGCCCTCAGTGACCTTTCCAGAGGCTGAGTTAGTTCTGATCACCCACAACCACAGACACACTGTGTGCAGACTCACTTTTTGGCCTCTTGCTGCAGCACTTCTACTTGCTCCTTTAGTGCCTCGTTGGCCTCTGTAAGAGTGATCATCTGCTCTTTGTCGAACTGCAAAGACTTCAAAGGAAAAAGACACATGAGTAGTGCTAAGCCACTTGCAACAGATGTGTCCCTTTGATAAAAGTTTGCAGAGTTCCCATCAATGTGTCTAGAGCACAAGTGGTGCAGTGGAGCAGGGTAGGTGAGCAGGCAAGTCACCTCCCTTGTACACCCACCTAGGTTTCCTAGGACCCTCCAGCTCACCATTGTACACTGCTGAATGATGGACACCCTGTCCCCTTCCTTTGCTGGACTTTCTGGTCCTTTCTATGTTGTGAGTCTCATGGTGACATACAGGGTTATACATGAGCTCCACCCAGATATGAGCCACAGCCACCAACTGCTCCCTGCACACAGGAAACTCCAGACACACTTCACACAGACCTGCAGGTGCATCTCCATCTCATCCCGCTCCTTCTGTGCTGACTGGAGGTGCTCCTGGAGCTCAGCCATCTGCTGGTGGGTCAGGGACACTTCCTTTTGCAAACGTGAATGCTCTACCTCCACAGTCCTCTTCTCCCCCTGCAGCCTGATTAGCTCCTGCCTCAGCTCCTTCATCTCTGAGTCCAGCCGCTTCTTTGTGGTCTTCAGTTCACTGATGAGCTGGTCTTTGGATGTAGCATCCCGCCGATAGGCTTCCACCATCACCTGCACACAACACTCGCTAGAGTTGGCACCCAGTGGGGCCTCACCAGGAGCATGGTGGCTTAAACAACTCATTTACCACTTAGCTAGAGCATAACTTTTGAGCTAAAGACAATGTATGTCATCCAGTCTAAGACAATACCCACTGAGGCACCCCACTGTTCTGCACCAGGAAAGGCAGCATCCTAACGACCTGGACCTTGCAGGAGGCCCCTTGTCCACCTGAGGGACCCAACAGCCCTTCTCTGGTGGTTGGCTGCATGGCTCCAACAGGTCTTCCCTTCCAGTCGTCAGTGACAAATCAAAACACCACTTAAAGCACAGCTTCCTTCTGCAGGTCTGAGGAGTACTTCAGTGGGCCTTTGTGAAGCATGTGAAACACTCCTCTGCATACAGAATCTGTGTTTCGTGCCTTTTGGGGACATTAATCTGCTGTAATGTTGGATCACAGCAATCACTTTTCAAAGATATTTCACATGCAGACAACAACCTGCATAGTGACAACAATGTTCAACACACATGGCTCTCTAGAGTGACAGCAACAAGGTGTTGTGACAAGCACCAGAGTGACCAGTGCCTCACACGGCCCACAGAGTGACATTCCGACCTCACAGACTGTGATGGGAGATAGAGCAGACCTGGATCCTTTCCATCTCCATCTTTCTGACTGATTTCATTCTACCAAAGCCAGCAGACCACACAGAACCATACCTGACAAGTGTTTCACTTGAGAAAAATTGTGTCCTACCTTCTGCTGAAGGAACTGCTCCTTCACTTTCTGTGTCTGCTTTCTCAGGGAGGTCATCTCCTGCTGCAGATGCTCCACCTACGGGACAGGTTTGCACACAGGCAGCCTCAGGGGTCCAGATGGCCAATGGCCCAAGTACTCAGCAAAACACAGCCCCACACTCTATTTCCTCACCATGTAATAGCACCAAGATGGGGGGGGGGGTGTGGAGTGAATGCTCCAGACCATGTGTCCACAGCCCTCCCTGGAATGGCCAGAGAGGAAACCTCTTCCTTTCCACAGGTCATGCATCTGCAGAGCTTCTCTGGTCTGCTTCTGCAGACCATGCACACCATGTACAGGAACGGTGAGGCTAAGCGCTAAGTTCCAGGGTACCTTGGCATGCAGGGCCTCCAGGCCCTGCAGCATTCTACCTAATGCCTCACCAACCTGTACATAGCCATGTGGAGATGCTTCTGAAGAAGCCAAGTGACACCACAAGGGCCCTCATGACACACAGCAAGGAAGGCATAGGCCCAGGTCAAATAACCATTGTACTATGATGTGACAGCCTCCTGAAGTCATTGCAGTAAAATCTTGTTCACTATACAGCAGCTGGTCTGGGTCAGTTCACCTGCCCAAGTCATTGTCCTGCAGATGTGGAGTCAGCATCCTGAGTAGGTCACTGTCCTAGAGTACAGGTCACTGTGCCCATCTGGGGTCACTATCCTAGGAGTGTGGAAATCACTGTGCTCATCTTGTGAACTGTCCTGGGGATGCAGGGGTCAGCATGTGCATCTGGGTCACTGTCCTGGGGGTACGGGATCAGTGTGCCCATCTGACATGGACACATCTGTCACAGGCAGGGAAGAGTCTCTTTCTGTTTGATTCCTCCTGTAAGAACAGAACATGCTTCACATAAGCCCTTGTGATTAGTTGGGCACAGTGAGGAATGAACCATTTTCCCCTGCAACATGAAGATGGTTCTAAGGTTCTCTGCCAGGAACCATCCAGGGAGGACCAAAGTACCTGTTGGGAACTGTTGAAGCTAGAAACTGACCACACATGCAAGTCTGGGGCATGTCTGTCCCAAGAACAGAGGGTACCTGGGGCAAGCCATGTAAAGAAGCTGCTTCAACACAGAAAACATCTAGCCCCAAGACAATCCTAACAGGGGGCTGCTAGGACAACAAGGGTGTCATGTGACATTAAGTTGCTAAAATGTACAAATAAATGCCCTGGCAATGAACGGCAAGTTCCTTTCCTCCCATCAGGAGGGTAAGGGCTCCACCTGACCCCAGCTTTCGTGTCTTTATTTTCTCATCCTCCTACTATCCTGCCTCCCCATAACATCTGGAGCTGCGTGAGTCATATGAGTACCAGTTGTTCTAAACACATCATTTATCCCTTCCAAGCATCCTTGTTACATGCTCCTGAGCCTATGCAGTTCCAAAGAAAGGGCAGAAGAAATGGACCCAGGCCAAAGGGAGCCTGTGTGAGCCAGGCCAAGCTTGGGCAGTCTCAGTGATGCTCAAGAACAAGCACACATGCCAATTGAGAGCTGTGGGGGACTTATGACCAGGCAGGCTGGGGCACAGCTCTATTTCTTCATTAGGCTGTCTCTGGTTCTCAGGGCAGCAGAAGTTTCACAATTTGAAAGACAGTAATACTACCCTGTTACCTTCCAAGGGCACCTACAAGCAGCTTTGTCAGTAACTACGCAGATAAAATCCTGAAATCATTAGTACTGTCTAGTGCCAGCTGAAGTCCCTTTCCTTAGCTACAAGTCAGTAGAGAATCCTGACGACCTTTCCAAGTGAACTCTCCCATGGGAAACAGATCAGAATCCCTCTTACACTTGACCCTGCAGAGTGAGATGTAAAGAATGAGCCATTCCCTGATGCTAATTCTACTTCCTGAATATCCTTTTTCACTGTCTAGGTTTTTAAAATACACTTGCTGACACCCAACTGTGTTGCACTGTTAGTCTACTGGTTCCTACCGGGTTTGACCTGCCAGGCTCTGGTCTCAGTACTGAGACACAGGGTAGTCAAGGGGCCATGGCTGCCCCTTTCTGTACTGTCTCACAGGAGGAAACCAAGTTTCTTATAGCTCCTCTCTAGGTTCAGGTCCATATTCTCAACAGTCAGAAGCTGGTATTTCTTGGCAGATGACTTTTAAAAGCCCTAAACCACACTCAGGTTCCCAGTTCTGGTTTCTTCTCATTCAGCAGCCTAGCTGGGACTGGGGCAGAACATGAACTACTGGGATCCCTGCCCTACAGAATTCTCCCATGGGTTACCCAAGTTCACAAAGGAATGCATCCACAGGAAGATGATCACAACCCCATGGGGGGTTGGTTACCTGGCTGGACTTGACGGCCAGCTCTTGTCTCAGCTGCTCTAAAAGTCCTGATGTCTCCTGAGTACCTTCTTCCAAGTGCCTTGCTCCCCTGTCAAGCTCCTCCTTGCCACTCCTGGCTGCCTGCAGAGCCACCTCTAAGACAATCTTCTCATTCTGCAGGAAGCGGACTGTGTCCTCCCTGGTGGCAGCCTCCCCCTGTAGTTCCTCCAGCCGTGCCTGCAGCTCATCATAGCGGATGTGCAGATCGTTGAGGGATTGTTCTCGGGCCTGCAGGGCCTCCTGTGCCGAAGTAAGCTGTTTCACCAGGCCCAGGTGCTCCTGCTGCAGTGCCATGAGCTGCTGGTCTCGCTGCTGCAGAGTCAGTTTCACCTGCAAACAGGGGTAGACTTACCCTGCTGCCCTTGGCCCTGTGTTGACAATGCATGTGTTTTTCCCTGCTTAGGATCTAAGTAACTTTGATGGACTCTTGGAAAGGTCTTTTTAAAGCAAAATTCTGAGTCAGGCATGGTGCTACATCCCTGTAATCTCAATACTTAGGAGGCTGAGGCAAAAAGACTGCCATGAGTTTGAGGCCAGCCTGGGCTATACAGCACATTCAAAGTTCAGCCTGGACTACACTGTGAGACCCTGTCTCAAAAAATAAGCAAGCAAGCAAGTAAACAAACAAGCAAAATTTTCATTCAAGGCATCAACAGAGGTAAATCTGGCATCCCTGGCCTGATGGTGACATTTCATACATATTCAGCACTCAACCCAACACAACCCATACTGCTTACATGGCCTGACTAGAGGTTGCTACACAAGCTGGCTGAAAGTAGCCTTGGGTGTGCACACTGGGATGGTCTCATGGCCACAGGGCCTGTGTGCCCAGTTTCAGAGTTATGTCAGCTACTTGCCTGTTCCAATTGCTGCTCCAGGGCCACTGCTGAGTCAGCCACCTTCTGCAGTTTTTCTCGTTCACCCTCAAACTCTTCCAGCCTCCTCTGGAGATCCTCTTCCACCATTGTCTTTGCCTCTCGAATCTGCACAAAGGCTGCTTCCTGATCCAACATGTCAGCCTGGGCCCAGGAAACAGTATTTTTGAAAAAACAGGGAAAACTGGTCATCGATAGCAGCCTAGGATTAGGGAAACTTGCTACACTGCAAGTCCCCTCCTTCACATCTTCATCTTGTATACAAATGCTAAGTGAGGAACACCCCACTTGCTACAGGGTGATTGCTACCATAGGCCTGACTGAAGGGAGGGACATCCAGTGTTAAGAAGGGAGAAATGCCTGGCACAGTGGTGTAGACCTGCAGTCCCAGCAGCTTAGGAGGCTCAGGCAGATCACTTGAGCCCACAAGATTGAAACCAGCTTGGACAATAGCTGGATCCAGGCTCAGGAAAACAGAATTGGGATCAAGGGTTGGATGATGATCCTCCTAGGTGCTTCTCATGGGAGAATGGGGGCAGCCCATTCCACTTTCTGGAGTATAGTACGTGATATTTTTTTCTTTGACAAGACTGCTGTTCCATATCACTTAGTAAAACAAAGTAAGAGACAGGGACCATAGAATGTGGCATTCATTACATTCTGACTGTGAATGAGACCTGGCATCTTAGTACATTACTTAGGGAAAAAGACTAGTCAATAACTCAAAATGTTTTTTGTTCTTTACATTGAGCCCTTGGCCATGTGATTCCCACAGAAAAATAGGCAAGTGCAGAGCAGAGTGAGATGAGAAACAAGACAAGTCTGAAGAAAGTAACTTCCTATGTGACTTTCTATGAAGGGTCAGGAACAAAAGCTGCCCAGCAGCACTCTCAGCACAAGGTGAGTGTTACATGGTTTTTCTGTTTTACATTTTCTAACAAGGACATTAAACAGGTTTTACTAAAAAGTAAAAGAGGCAACTACGCTCAGAATGATTAAGAAATCAAGCAGGTTCTCTCAGGTACAAAAAAGCAATTAGGCTTTGAGTCTGGGCCAAAGCTACTGTATTTCTCATCATGTTGAGATGACCATGCAGACGGCAGCAGTAATAAAGACCGCGTGTGGTGTGGGAAGACTAACTAGCAATGCAAGTGAAGCACCTGGAATAACCAAGACATACCATATCATCCAGCACATAAGATACGAAAGACCACCCCTATATTCTGCTCAACCTAGGGCCTAAGGTGCCACCAACATGTAAATCTGACACAGGGTGGGGTCCCTAAGTCCTAAGCAGCTTTTTAAAGCATACATATAGAGCTGGGGATTTAGCTCAGTGGTGCAGCGCCTGCCTGAAAAGCATGAGGTCCTGAGTTCGATTCCAGGTATCCCCAAAAACTACATGTTTACATATATACATATACACATAAGGCATATTTATGTTTACCTGCATGCTTTATGCTTAAGAGTAAGTATACTATGTTTTCTCACACCTGCCAGTGAGCCCAAAGCCAAATAGAAACCAGCACCTACCACAGTCATAGTCCTTACCTCGATGCTCTGGAGCTGCACAGCTATGCGCTCCTTCTCCTTGATGGATCTGTGCTGTGTCTCTGTCAGCTGCTGGGATAGGGATACGTTCTCAAGCTTCAGGTGCTCCAAAAGACCAGCCTGGGTCATCTGTCCAACCTTCAAAGAAAAACATGAGGGTAGAAAGCTGCTCAACTTCAGGTATCAAGCGCAGAACAGCCGGTCTCAAGTTAACCACAGTAAAATTCTTTGCCTACCAACAGTGACCAGCTCTCCCTCCTGATGGCCTGTGAAGCTAGGGCTGCCACCACCCCAGCACTCACTTACAGGCTGCCCCATCTTCAGTCTGGGACCAGATGGGTCCTGCATTCCTAAGAGGCAAGGTAACCACCCTGTAGTCCGGGCCAGATCCACATACCAGCTCCCATCAACCGTGGACTTCTGAGCCCCAGGTGAGGAGCTTCAAACAGGTAAGTACAGCCACACCTACACAGGGCCCACAGTGCTGGCCTGTCTTATCCTCATGAAAAGAAGCCTGGAGCCCTAAGGGGTGAGGGGCAGTACGGAGAAGCAAAGGCTGACAGGCCTGTGGCTGGACTGTTCCTACCTTAACTGTTTTCCCAGTGGGTGTCTGGACTGACAGCATATAAGGTGTGATGGGGGTGGTTGAGCTGTGGACTGCAAAGACGCTGCTGGAGCAAGGAAGGGAAGGATTATAGTCTGCTCATGTGTTTCACCCTGTAAATGGCTACTGGCAACCAAGGGATAAGTTCAGGGACAAAGTGGCAAAAAAATTCTAATTACAAACAGTGAACCCAACTACCAAAAAAAGCAGAGGTTCTCAAAGTGGCACTTCCTTCAGTTCCTCCTCTACTTCTGTCTCCTAAATTATATTTTTGACTTATTTACATAAAATCTTGCTTACTTCTTTAAATACTGCATCCTGATACAAATGCACTGAAGGTTGTGGTACATTAACTTGTATAATCATTTACGTTCATTTCTCTACATGATCCTTTGGCTTAAAAAGTGTATTACAAATTTAAGAAAACTTCTTTTTTGCATATGGGTAAACTCCAGAAAAAAAGAAAAAGGAACAGTTGGTGGAGACTATATTTTATATGCTCTATTTGAAAAATAAAGTTCCAATAAATCTCAAATCTGTAATATTTTATCTGAGAAGAAATAAAGTCCACAGTTAAATTTTCCAAAGGTTGACCAAAAGTACTCTTCAGCTTTCACTCGAAGCACTCCAGGCACTGAGTTTTAGAGCAAAGTGCATTCCAGCAGGCTCCTGTTCCTCTTTTCTCCAAAGCACACTGTCTGAGGCTGCTAGCCTCACTCTGACAGCTGACATGCACACACATTAGTGTCACTCCGCCCAGTGACACACAGAATGACATATATTCCCATATAAGCAGAATCAAAAGCTGATGTGGCCTGCAATCAGTAAAAAAACAAAGAAAATGTCCTGTGTGGAAACTGGAAACAAGAATTCACGTAAGTATGATTTAGTAACTGTATATTTCTGGGTTCAAGCAGCCACAGCAAGATGAAGCTCTAGCCAGGAAGGGAGCACTTGCCACACTGAGAGCTTGACCGAGAATGTCACAGGGAGGGATGCAGGGCAAAGAGGCCGGGAGGGGGACTCCTGAGATTCAGCAGGCATGGATTTGAGGAGTTATCCTTCAGAGGAAGGCTGGAGCTGACAAGCAGAGCCAAAAGCCTGGGACAACCCAGAGCAAGCATTTCAGAATGAAAGACTCAGGTGGAAGCCAAGAGGCTGTGTCCAAAGGTTACGCAGAGGGAGGACTCTGCACAGGAGGAGTGGGGACCACACTTGTGGATAGTAAACTTTAATGGAAGCACTATTTTAGTTTAGATGGAAGCATGGTTACTGAAGGAAGTCATAGGCCATACCTGGATGTGGGCCACCTCACCCTGCAGTCTGACCCGGGCTTCCTGGGCTAGGGCCAGCTGCTGCTGGTACCACTGCCGGGCATGCTGCAGAGAGGCGATCTCAGCCTGCGAAGCCTGCAGCTTACTGGTCAGCGTTGTGCGTTCCAGCTGCACTTGCTGGAGCTGACTCTGCAGGGCCGCCATCTGCTGTCGGAGGTCGTGTACTGAAAGGGAGCAAGCACAGCCCGCTCAGGCCACCAGCACCCCTAGAGAGTGCGCAGCTCTGTGGAGGCGTATGACAAAAAGTTAGCAGGCAGACAGCAGGGACAGTTGATGTGCCTATCTCAATGGCTGGTTTCTACAAGGTCACTACTACATGTGGATACAGACCACTTCTCCTGGGGAAACACAGAGCTGTATTCTAAAGTCTTCTATCACATGTTCATAAAGCCACATTATATCCTTTATTTACATGACTCTATTTAAAGACATCTTATTTAATGTTTTCTTTACTCAACATCAAGCTTATGATCCGTAACTCTGAGTCAGCCATAGTGGCTGAGCAAAGTTCCCCTAACCTATGTCTTCTCCACAAATAGCTGACAGCCCCCTTATACTGAGTACACCAGTGTTTTGGGCCATTTAAGCAGCAAAAACACACCGATAAGGAACAAATTCACAAGTATGGCCTTGAGGAAACTATAGAAAGGATTTAGCTTATAGCCTGAGCTGTGGGAAAGACTTAAAGCAAAGAAGACCAGAGGCAAACAAGAGGGCAGTGTCGCCTTATGCCCCTGCAGCCAGGTACAGAAGGATTGGTAACACAAATTTTTGTTACTCTGTATATGTCCATGAAAGATCATGGAGTGCTATGAGAACTGGTTTGAATGTTACAGATAAATTTAAGAAAGGAGGCAAATTCAGTTATGGCATCTCATACTGAGAATCAACCGTGTGCCTACAAATGGCCATGGACACCTTGGTGCTGGTCTTTGAACTGCCTAGCCATGTCTATTAGCCACAAACAAACTCAGCAATGGAGTCCTGGGCTGGCTATCCACTAACTCTTGCTGGTCTGCACATATGGTCAACTCTTAAGGGCAGGGTGAGAGGAACACGAGGAGAGAGCCAGGAAGGTACTGAGAGCCCAAATCACAGACAAAGAAAATCAGGTATTTTTATACTTAAATTATAACCCAAATTTTAAAATGCATTTATCATTCTGAAGGTATTTTTCAAAACTTTTATTTTATTGGGTTTTTTTTTTTTGGGAGACAGAATCTTGCTATGTACCCAGGTCTTGAACTCATAGAGATCCTCTTATCGCAGCTTCTTGAGTGATAGGATTATAGTTAATACACCATCCCTAGTTCTAAAACTAACCTTCTCTCTCTCTTTTCTGAGACAAGGTCCTGTTGTGTAATTCAAGCTGGACTATGTAGTCCAGACTGGCCTTGAACAAATGATGATCCTCTGACTTAGGCTCCAGAGTACTGGGATTACAAGTTATATACCACCCTGTCTACCAAAATTTTGACATAAAAGCTGAATAGGAGAGTTTGAAAGGCCTGGGACCCCATATCTGAAGAGATTCAGAGATCAGGGTGGTGAGATCATGGAATGGCAAGAGAAGTGCCTCTGCCCCCAGTCACACATAGCAGAAGGTCAATGACCTGGCACTGGGCCATGGATCATGCCTGAGAAGCATACCCAAGCTTGGGTCAGTTCTGCTGACCAAGAAACACTGGCCCAGTGAGGTTTTGCAATCCCTCGGTCAAAACCATCTTGGTGTTGGGCAAATTTTTGGATTTTAACTTTCTTAAGGGACTGGGTCATAAAATGCTCAAACACCAAAAAATTAACAGCAATCAAGATAGTATCTTGTTGCTCAGTGAACTCTTTCTATTCTCTGCTATTAAAACTCGGAAATAGTAGCTCATCATTCTCTTCTAAGTGACCAGCACTGCAGCCCTGCCCACAGTCCCACACCAAGTCGCTGCACAGTTCTGGACCCAAATGTCCATTCCCTCAGGCTGTTCTTTAGCTTTCCTTTCCTCTTCATTCTCTCTCCCCCCTGCTCAAATGTGCTCTAAGCAAAGACCACAGTCTTCCTGGTCTCAGACACATGAGACTGTTGGATGAGTGCAAAGGCTCTCAGTGTATGACCAGCCAACACAATTCTGTTTTCTCTGGGTTATCAGAAGCCAGCCTGACCAAACCACTGAGCTTATGCTGGCAGGAGGTCACTAATCAACAGCTTAGGTGTTTTATTTGGGGAGGGGGTGCTTTTTTAAGACAGAATCTTGCTATGTAGTTCAGGCCTGCTTGAGCTCACTACGTAGCCCAGGCTGCCCTCCAACTTGTGGTGATTCTCCTGCCTCAGCTGCCCAAATGCTGTGGTTATAGGCATAAGCCACCACAGCAGGCTCTAGGTGTTACTGTTAAATATTTTAAACAGAATATGAAATAAACAAGAATAAGTGTAGAATACACAGGCAGTTCTATTCCTCCCCAAACACTGGATTTCTAAGGCAGAATGAGTGGAAATGATTGCTCCTGATGGTCAAGGGTTCAAAGCCAATTTCTGAGACCTAACTCATTTCCCAAATGTTCATGCAGAAAAGTACAGAATCCCATGAGTTCAACCAAAGTTGCATTCACTACAGCAAGTGGACAGCTCATGTCAGTGATGAGCTAATGCCACCTGCAGGTGAGTGTACACTAGTGGGCCAGGTTCCAGGTATAGCTGTAGCTGCAGCAGCAGCTCCAGCCCAGCCTCACCTGTGTTGTCCTTGCTGAGGATGCTTCTCTGCATGTCCTCAACTTTGGCCATCAACCTCTGGTACTGTTCCTCTGCCACCTGCAGGTCATTGTTCGAGGAAGCCAGGCTGGCATTCTTGGCTTCCAACATGTTCTGCAGGTCTGTCATAGCCCGCTCCAGGTCCCAACAGGACTGCTTGAGAGTGTCCACCTCGGAGCTGAGGGAGTCTTGTTTCTGCTGGCTACTTTGGCTGCGCTCCACCTGGGCCTGCAGCCTGGTGTGCAGGGCAGCCAGTTGGGCTTGCAATTCTGCCTTTTCCTGAAGTGCCTGAAAATACCAAGCCATCATACACTTTCAGCAAAACAAGTCACTTCCAACCAGTATGTTAGCAAGATTGCCAATACAAGCAGACAAATGTGAGTCACAGGAGGCATGGTCAAATGCAGTTCAGACTCTTGCAAAACTATATCCAATGAAGAACCACACGTTCTTTTCAAAAACTGGACATATCAAACACTCCAATATCATTTACCTGACTGGCCTCTAGTGATAAAGCCTCCAGCTGTCCTTCAAGTCTCATCTTTTCTTTAAGAACCTGCAACATTTCGTCCTGTGCTTCAGCAAGGGAGCTCTCCATGGACACACTAAGGACAAAGGCACAAGGTCAGGAGATGGGATCACGCCAAGCATCCTTCTTCTTACACTTACCTCTGTATCCCAAATTCCACAAGCTCTGCTGCTCTCTCTCTCATATTTTAAAAAATAAGAAGACTTTGGGAGTGAGCTGAGATCAGATAGGGTTGCCTCCCATAGCAGGCCCTTCCAGCAGTTGCCACCAGAGCAGACTCTGGAAGCACGAGCCCCATGAACATCAGTGCAGATGCAGAGACAAAGTATAAACACTGGAAGACAGGATGTGCAACATCCCAAGCAGTTGCTTGGGTCATTCTACTTTTAAAGCACAGAGCTGTAAGTGAAATGCTTGTGTGAACACTACAGATGGTGTTAAAAAAGAAACGCTGTGGCTGGCAGTATTCTGAGTGCAGAGCAGGAGGCTGAGCCACTGCCCACCTGCTGCAGATACTGTCTCTGCGGCTCCTCACTTCACCGTTGACCTCCTGTCCCTGGTCTTGGTGCTCAGCTGCCGCAGCCTGGAGGACATCTTTAATAGAAGGGAACTGGCCCAGAGCCTCCGTGGCAATCTCCTGGCCATTGACCAAGTAGGCAGCTCCCTGTGTGACCACATTTTCCAGGACACAGTAGGTCCCACGGGTAGAGAGGCTGCTATGTGAAGAGCTGTCACTCTCATTCCCATCAGCCTCTGACACACTGTCCCCAGTCAGTGAGGCATTCTTAAGACGGCCATCAGTCTCGGGAGATGGGCTGACCTCAGACACTACTGAGGTGCTGCCCCTGCTCTGCTTCAGGGAGCTCACAACAGAGTTGGCAGCAGGAGCAAGGCCACTGGAAACACTTCCATCTTCAGTTCTATAATCAGCCAGAGACCGGATTTTGCTTGATTTGGAACTCTTTTTATCCTTGGCATGTGTCAGCAGCCCTAAGCTGCCCACCTTGGGCCCCCGAGGGACGCTGGTGCGCAGGAAGGAGTACTCTTTTGTCATAGCTACGGTACTGGCCCTTGGCAAGTTTTCTGGGTGCAACATGAGCTCAGGATCAAGAGTGCTAGAGAGTCTCATTTTTGTTGAAGGCTGGCTGGACTGAGAAAGAAGCAAAAATACAAAAATCCGTTAAAATCTGTAAGCAGCATTCTAAAATTGACACTCAAAGAACCTGCACTAACTAACATCCCTTGGAGTAATGAACAGCCTTCCAAAAGCTCAGTAAGCCCGACGCCCAATAAACTCTTGAGCTCCAACAGGACCTTGTGGCCACCCTGACTAAAGTACATCTCTAAAAAGTGGCTTTAATACACTGTAATACAAGTCTCAGAGCAAGTCCCTTCCCACCACACTTTCTCTACAGAACTTCCCTGGCTCTTCTCCTATGTTTCCTCTTTCAGGTATATTTTTTCAATCAAAAAAAAATTACCTATAACTACTTTAAACCTCTAATCACTCAGGTATTAAGGATTATTTACTTACCTAGAGTCTAACTCTTTTTATTAAATCACCATTTTTTCCATATATACTATCACTTTTGTTACTACAAATGTTATCTTTTCCTACTCATGATGATGATGGCAGGGTAATTACTTATTTTTCGTATTTGATGTAATAACCTGGCAATTTCCTAAATTCAGATTAGATCTAATAATTGTTTTGGTTTTACATTAAAATGAAAAAATAATACAAAATTTCAAAACAAAATAATAGGAAATTAACAATGATCAATATATTGCATATTATCTTCAAAGCAGTTGCTCAGATTACAAGCTATAGGCATGAAAAAATGCTCAATGAGAACACAAACTTTTCTTTTTTTTCATACCAGGGATTGAACTCACAACCTCATGTTTTCCAGGCAAGTGTTTCAGCTGCTGAGCTAAATCCCCAGCCCACAAACCATTCTTTTTTTTTTTTGTCTTTTTCATTTTTATTGATACCAGGGATCGAACTCACGACCGCCTGCTTGCAAGGCAGGTGCTTATGCTGCTGAGCTAAATCCCCAGCCCCAAACCATTCTTTTTAATTCTTCAAATATAGAAAATCTATATTAGAATATTTTGTTCGTGATTTTTTTTTGTTTTTTTTTTTTGTACCAGGGATTGAACTCACGACCTTACGCTTGCCAGGCAGGTGCTTACACTGCTAAGCTAAATCCCCGGCACAAACCATTCTTGTTATTGAGCTAACAGAGATTAGTAATACAATTATGTATTATATATGTATACAATCTTTTCCCTTCTTTCTTTTCTCCTTTCCCCAGCTCTAATGATTGTTTTCAGTTGATTTTCCGGGATTTTTCATGACATTATCAGCACCTAGAAGTAACTATAACACCTCACCTGTTTGTCAATATTTCTATATCTTGGGCCGGGGATTTAGCTCAGCGGCATAAGTACCTGCCTGGCAAGCACAAGATACTAGGTTCCATCCCTGGTACAGAAAAAAAAAAAAAAAAAATTCTGTATCTTACTTCTTGTGTCAGTTACAACTTGTAAAATGGCCTCACTTAAGGTCTGCAGTGTAGGAGAGATTCCTTTCCTTTTGTTAAGCCAGCACTAGCTTTTGTTTATAGAGAAACAATCTTTTACTGTACAAAATCAATGTAATTCCTGGGCTGAGGCACACAAGGGAGGTTAAGAAACCTCACAAATGGCCTGGGACATAGCTGGATATGGAGCTGGAAAACAACAGGAAAGGTGGGAACAGTGAAGGAGAGACTGAACCATCCACACATAGACAAAGACTACTGGGCCAGGGAAAAACATTTTCAATACACACCAAGAAGGGATCGTTTCCTGGGTTATATGCACCTACACAGCCAAGAAAAAGACTTCATCCTACATGGGCCAGTGGGGCTGTTGATTGAGGCCACTCTATCCTGAGCGTTGGTGTGATGGGGACAGAGAAGATGGAAGACAATCTGAGAGAGTGACCTCTGAGACACAGGCCATCTCCTGGGCTGCTCAGTGCTGCCTCTGGCCTTTGGAGAGGGCCTCTAGGACAAGGACAGCTGGTAGTGGAAGTGTCTAGCCTCTTTCAACCTTTCTGTACTAGCCCTTTGGTGTGAGTGGCTGTGAAATATGTAATGAGCTAATCACACAGAAAATGTCATCTTATTTAAAACTATTAGATATCATTTTTAGCTTTTACTATTAGATATATGGCTTTTTAAGATTTGGGATTTTACATGCAACTACTGACACATTAGTCAACAAATATAGGTGTATCCAGGTAGATGCAGGAACTGCTATGCAGCTGAATTCTCATTACTGCCGAGTAAAAACTCCTAAACTGAGTTTCAGTTTTCTCTTCCCAAATGTCATTTCTTTCACCTGATGGCTGTAATATCCATATTGCATAAAGTCTGCAGGAAATTTAACATAATGCCTAGTACTCACTGGTTCTTTGCCCTCACTGCCTGTGACTATTGCTGGCAGGCCACGTGGAGAGGTCCCCAAGCTCATCCCTGGCCAGCATGAGGCCCAGTCCACTCAGCCTGGGACCTGCTCCTCCCTAGAGCAGCAATGCTCTCCAACAGCACTTCTTCCTGACTCGGGAGGCAGACTTACTCGCTCCTGCTGGCGCTTCACACGATACTGCCGGAGCTGCTCTTCCAGGCGCTTCCGGGCCTGGAGTCGGACCTGCTCCTCCTTCTCCAGGGGCAGTGAAGATGCTGTGGAGCCTGCAAAGGCAAATGGCATCAAGAAGCTCATCTCATAAAGGAGCAGGGTGAAGAGAACAAACTAGTACTGTACCTACTGCTTGGTTCTCTTCATTTAATTACCAGTATATGTTTACTCCTAAACCATGCACAATCATCTAGTCCCTGGGTGATTTCCAGATAGGGAAAAGACTGTGAGCCTGGGTCACAACCAGAAAGGATATACCATGAAGGAGATACAACATTAAGTGCTAGGTCTCTGTTCATTCAGCAAATACAATGCGTGTGACAGAATTTTAGCTGGTAAAATGAGAGGTAGGTAACTAGCACCTTTCAGCGACACAAAGAACTGAATTTGAAGTAGATATTGGGGCTGATTGCTTAGTGATCACAGGCATTGCAGTGCAAAAGCAGAAGGCCAAGTCCCTCCTGCCTCAGGGACCTGACTCTGCTCTGCCACAGAGGCCACATTCCTTCAGTGGAGCCCAGGATAAACATGGTCAGGCTGGTTGCACTCAGTGATACCCATGGAAAAAGTCACCTCTGGATCAACAGTAACAACACATGCAGGTACATGTGAACATACAATTTGATCCAGAGCTTATCTTTCACTTCCTGTAGTGATGAGCCATGTTATAAGGTTTTGTAAAATTGAGTTCTCAGGGGCTGGAGATTTAGCTCAGTGGCATAAGCGCCTGCCTTGCAAGCAGGCAGTCGCGAGTTCAATCCCCGCTACCGATAAAAAGGAAAAAGACAAAAAAAGAAAAAAATTGAGTTCTCAAACAAATGGCAGTATTCAGACTTTTTTTTGGTACCAGGGATCGAACTCATGACCTCGTGCTTGCTGGGCAGGTGCTTATGCCACTGAGCTAAATCCCCAACCCTAGACATTATTTAGGAAGGAATGAAACCACTGTTCATTCTGTGTTCAGAGCAGACACACATCAGGAATCTACCTGTGGAGATGGGGCTGGCGATGTTATCTTTCTCACAGGTGAGACTCCAACCCAGATGACCTGCTCAAGGATAGCACAAGGAATGACAATATTTTAGCTAAAAATAATATTTAAATATTTGAACTGGGGGTATAGCTCAATGACAGAATACTTGCCTACTCATGTGTGATGCCCTGGGGTTTGACCCCCAGCACCACAAAAAGAAGAAGAACAAAAAAAGAAAGAAAGAAAAGAAAAAAGGAGTAGGAGGAAAGAGGAGGGAAAAAGGAAGAAGGCACTTGCAAGCAAATATTTCAGACCAGACCTGATCTTAAGTATGGAAAGGGTTGAACAATGATCACAATAGAATTGCAGCTGCAGAACCAAATAGAATAAAATTGCAATAGAATTGCAGCTGCAGCCCTGCAATTTCCAGGGCTGGATTTTTGAGCTTATTCCTTGTGAATAGCAGTAGATGGCCTAGATGTTACCAAAGTGCATAAATGCAGTAACTTTGTATATGTGGCACCTTCCTGGACCTGGGTTCTAAGGAAATAAGTGGTAGTGCTTTAAGTATTCACTAAAACCTGGGAAATTACCAAGTTCACTAGGAATCTGTCACTGTTGTTACCAATCTGTACACTTCATCTCTGGAGAGATCTCAGTACCTTTCACATGACTGTGTGCGAATTTCTAGGCCATCACCATCCAAGTGACAAATTTAGGAGCCATAACCATCAAGAAGGTGCCACAAATCAGCAATGTAGGCTGGGCTTGAAGTGACTCACACTGAAGCTTAATGACCAGCTAGCTGCCTGGACAGAGCTCAGGGCCAGGTGGCAATAGGAGCCGAATGTGTAGTGTCCTCATTCCTTGGAAGGAACAGGCCCCAGAATTAGGTGTATGTTCTTAGAGAAGCTATTATGTGGCCACCTGGAGGCAGAGCTCACAGATCTTATGAGCAGGAGCCCAGACTTTCATGACATTTCTTCACGTAAGAGTTGGCAACTCATTTTCAAAAATTTAAGGTGCTGGGGGTTTAGCTCAGTGGCACAAGTGCCTGCCTGGCAAGCGCAAGGTCATGAGTTCAATCCTTGGCACCAAAAAACAACAACAAAACAAGTTTAAAAACACAAGGTAGCACTGAAAAAATAATGCCTATGAAGAAAAAGGCAATCCAAAAAGGAAAATGAGCAAAACAGGGAGACAATTCACAGAAAAAAAAAAAAAAAAAAAAAAAAAAAAAAAAAAAAATATATATATATATATATATATATATACAAGTGCCAACAAATAAAAATACGCTCAGATCCCCTATTTAACTAAAGTAAAAATGAAGCATCATAGCACAATCACCAACAAATTTCGTGGTGCACACTTATAGTCCTAATTACTTGGGAGGCTGAAGCAGAAGGTGGCTTGAACTCACAAGTTTGAGGCCAGCCTGGGTAACACAGTAATGTTTTGTCTCAAAAGCAGGCAAAAACCAAAGAAACAGAGTGTCCATCCTCAAGGATGTCGACAAAGTGTTCTCAAAGGTCCTCACTAGTGGCACATCAATATGATCATACAGACTACACAAAACACACTGAAGCCCCATAGAGAAGGAAGCCCAAGGGCTGAAGAATCCACACACCCAAATGCTGGATATGGATCAAAAACTCAGCAGGCTGCAGCCGCTGGTGAGGGTAGGCACTGCCCTACTGGCCCACAGAAACTAAACTGTAACAGGCAGCAAGAAGCTACCTCTGTACAATTCAATTAAGTGGGAAACACGCAATCACAGGAACAACACACTTCCATTTACCAAAACCCTATATATGTTTACAGAAATCTGCAAAGATCTTATACTAACATGGCTGATAGAAGCACAGGACTGAGGTTACAAAGATAGACAAGGGAGTATAATTGCAGCAGGTAAAACCATACTATTAAAAACCAGGCTCAAAGGGGCCAGGGATATAGCTCAGCAGTGCAGTACCTGTCTAGCAAGCACGAGGCCCTGAGTTTGATTCCCAGTACCAAAACAAAGCAAAACAAAACCCAAAAAACAAGGCTCAGGGCTAACATGGTAGCACACATCTATAATCCTAGCAGTCTAGGAGGCTGAGCCAGGAATGCAAGTTTGAGACCATCCTGGGGAACTAAGCAACTCAGCAAGATTCTACCTCAAAAAATATAAAAAGGCCAGGATTATCACTTGGTATGAGGGCCCTGAGTTCAAATCTCAGTACTGATTTGTCTACCCCCTACACACAGGCATGGGCAGGTAGCTCAGTGATCTCTGGGTTTAATACCCAGGAGGAAACAAACACATTAAATCAATCTACAACCCAAGGCTCAGAAAAATGTCTGAAGGTTTCCGGAGCTCACAGGCTATGACTGTGGGGCTTGTTTATCTCTACAACAACACAAAAATAATGACTGAAGTAAGTATAAAAGAATATCTTTAATTGCAAGCACACACATCTCAACAGTGACCCTGTGTACTTGTTGGCCTCTTAATCAGGGACCGTGGCACAAGACCATCCTAGACCAGTACTAGACCATAGCAGAGGCCCAACTCCCACATGTACCTTCAGTCTTCAAACAAAACTGTTTCATTGAATGTACCCGCCCCCACTCAGTGTAAGATGGGACAAGGGAAGGCCCTGAGGGTCACTCTTGGGGATGGGCAGTGGACAGGGACAGGAGGGTTGGCAAGGGTTGGTGGGAAGGATGCTTACACAGTTGCGTTTCTTGCATGGGAAGACTGAGTCTGAGAGACTGCAAAGCTTCTTTTCTAACACTGCCCTCAGCACTAGTTCCCTGGGACTTCCTTAGGTTGTCATGGAAACCAGCCACACCTGGAGAGGCATCAGCACCCACTGGGCTTGTGGTGGGATCAAGAAATAATGGAGACTCTGGGAACTGCGGTGTGGACCCATTCTGGCAGAGTTGCCCCTGCCCGGGTGTGTCCAGGCGTTCTATTTCCTCAGGAGCTCTGTTTACCTCAACACTGGCACCTGCAGAGAGAAAGTCTACTAGATCATCAATGTTTCAACACAAATCATTTTTAGACATGTAACTATGCAGGCTGTACCCATGTACGGGAGCACATCCCCACCTTTCAAATCTGTTCTGAGTGGCAGGGAGACTTGAGCAAATCCATGTCTCCTGGGTTCCCACATCCTCACCTGTAAAGTGGCTTCATCCTCCAGACGATAGCTAGAGAATGAATGTTTCCCTTCAGTTTAAATGAGAACACGAGAGTCAGTCTTCACCAGCATCTTCCCCATACAGCTACTCAAGCTGAAATCTTTCCTATCTTCTTCCTAATTAAAGTCTTTTCTTTTTTTGTTTTTGCTTTTTTGAGACAGAGTCTCACTTTGTAGTATAAAACTCACTATATAGTCTTGAACTCACTGTGTAGCCCAAACGGGTTTCAAACTCAAAGTGATCTTTCTCCCAAGTGCTGGGATTACAGGCAAGTACTACCACACCCAACTAATTAAAGTTTTTTCTATAAATTCATACTTTAGTTTTAATTCCATTATAACTAAAACAAGGAGCCATAATAGCCAGCAGTTTTTAGCACCCAACACAGGGTTGCTCTGGCCTACAAAAGGATTTTCCAGATTCTGAAATTGATGGAGTACTTGCAATATTGGGCATTGGACAGAGAGGACACTAAGATAAAGGATTCACAGGGACATTAAACTGTGTCCACAGTCTCAGCAATTATCCTCACCCTGTGGTCACCTATATTCCAGGAAAAGCAAAGTCCCATACAGCTTAAACCACCACAACATAATCCTTTCATGGGGACAAAACCAGCTGGCAGCCAGGAGCATTCCTCCCACTGGAACCAAACTGTCCCTCAAGTCACAAGGATTCAACCTGAAACTAGGAGTAAGATACTAATTGACTGGACCCTGACCCATCTCAGCTAATCCTATAAATTAATTCCCTGCCTCTGCAGATGAGCCAGGTTGATCCCTTGCATTGAATATGCCCCCTCCAACTGCTGAAATTTGAGTCTTCTCTCTTACTTTCCAATTAAAGCTTTCTCTGGAAGAAAAAACAAAAAACAAAGAAAGAAACAAGAAAGAAAAGGAAAAAAAACCAGAAAGACAGATGGTAAGAAATCTTATAAAAGTCTCTTTAAAAAATAGGAAGAGTCGGGTGTGATGGTTCACACCTGTAATCACAGCACTTGGAACACTGAGGCGCAAGAATCACTGTGAGTTCAAGGCCAGCCAGGGCTACAAAGTGAGTTCATGGCCAGCCTGAACTGCATAATGAAACCCTATCTCAAAAAACAAAAAACAAAACAAAACAAAAAATAGAAAAATAAGCTGGGTATGATGGAATATGTTATAATCCCAGCACTCAGGAGGCTGAAGCAGGAGGATCTTGACGACTACACAGAAAGATCCTGTCTTAAAAAAAAAAAAGAGAGAGAGACAGAGACAGAGAGACAGAGACAGAGACAGAGAGAGAGAGACAGAGAGAGAGAGAGAGAGAGAGAGAGAGAGAAAAGGAAAAGGAAAAGGAAAAGACAAAAAAGTGAGGGGGGTGGGCTGGGGATTTAGCTTAGCAGCATAAGCACCTTCCTTGGAAGCAGGCAGTTGTGAGTTCAATCCCCGGTACCGATAAAAAGGGAAAAGAAAGACAAAAAAGAAAAAAAAAAAAAAAAAAGTGGTGGTGCATGCCTTAATCCCAGCATTCAGGTCGGTGAGGCAGAAGAATCAAACTTTCTAGGTCACTTTGGGCTATACATTGAGACCCTATCTTAAACAAAACAAAGTAAAAAACAAGACAAAAAATAAAAAAGCTAAAAAACAAAGTTGATAATCTTTCTAATAGGCATTGGTAAAAGCAGGGCTTATCAGAGCCTCAGCTTCCATCTGTACAGGATGGTACCAAAATCAATTTGAAGCATAAGCTTACTTTCCAAAGCAAGCCTAAGTGAAGAGATGGACAACTGGATCAGTGTGACTGCAAAGCTGAATACAGTGCCCAGAATACACACACACTCTAAACAGAAAGCTCTCCAAAGCACCTACCTCTCAAATCTTTGTGCTCGGAGGAAAACACTAGTACAGAATAAACTGGCAACTTACACTGGACTTCATCCGGCTGGTCAGGCAGTGCCAGTGGGCCCTGGGGAGTCAGGAGGGCCTCGGGGCAAGCTGAGGTGTCGCTGCTGGATCTGTCTTCCAAGAGGCCATCACACTTGGCTGATACACCATCCATGGTCAGGACGGCCCAAGCTGAGCAGACAATGAAGGACTACAAGTGACCTCAGGAGGAGTGCAGTTTCTGCCATCAGCAACAGCCCAGAGCTCCCAGAAAGACCTTCACTCTATGTTCCATTTTCAGGGCAAAATTTAAAGTTTCACACATGGCTTGCAGTCCAACCAACCAGTATCATGATATCTGATAGGAAGCAAAGAGAAAAACTACTATAAAACTTCATTTGTTAGATTTCAAGCAACAATCACAAAATTAACATTTACTTCTTAATTTTCATTTAGAAACACAGATTTCTTCATTCCATAAACAATCCCCAAATACTTTCAGGGTTTATGTTCTGAAGATAAAATGCGAACTAGTCACACCTGGGCCTTTCATGAAGTTACTCAACATATGCACTGGTGCTAAGTTAAAGAAAGTTCTGCCAAGTCAGCTATGGTGGCATCCCAGCATTCTGGAAGACTGAGGCAGAAAGATTCTAAATTTGAGCCCACGCTGAGAACACTAGAGATTTAACAAGATCCTGTGTCAATATAAAAATGACCTGAGCATGGTGACGCATATCTGAAATCCTAGTGTCAGGGAGGATAGGCAAGGGGATCCTCATGAGTTCAAAACCAGCATAGGTTACATGTAATTTTAAGGTCAGCCTAAACTAATAGCAAGACCCTGTCTCAATAAACAAACACTCTTTCGACTCATCCTGCTGAGCTAGATTTAAGGAAATAAAATTTCACTCTAAATTTGGCAACTGGTTCAACTCCAAGGTGTACAAATGACGTAACTCACTTTCTTATTAACAGAAAAGATATTCTGTGAACTTCTAGTATTCTGCATAAATGTTGGCATTAATAGTTTTATAAAGTTCATACTACCCTATGTTCTGCTCTGTGTTTGGCATGTTTCATGACAAGTTGTATAACCTTCATCCCATACAGAAATTAGAGACAAGCCTAAGTGGGTGGTCCTCATCAGTGGCTGTGACACAGACTGAGTAGCACCGCTGACAAACAGCATGCTCCTCTGGCCAGCCCACACACTCTAACTCCATTTGTCCTCTAACACTGGTCACCTGAGAAAGAGGGCAACCACAACTGATGTGTACAGCCCAGCCTAGACACAGTCCATATTTGCTACAGAAATGTATCTCTGTACAGACTTATATTTGCTCATAAATTGTAATAATCCAGGTATTCTTTTCTGCTGCTCTGTACCCTACAGACCAGAGACACTGTGAGTTAATAATAGTACTGCTAAGAACATAAAGAGCTTACGTATCAGTGATGGCAGACCTTTCTGAGTTTTCAGTGATAATAAACAGCCCGCTATGGCATGTGTGCCATAGGTTTGCCACCACTGTTATACAGTACTATTAATGTGAAACTAGCAAAAGGGCTTGAAACTAGAAAATATTGGTCATAAGAATGTATGAAAACAGGGGCTGCAAGCAGGTGGTCCTGAGTTGGATCCCCAGTACTGGGGGGGGGGGAGGAAGAATATATGAAAACATTAGAAAATGCAAGTGCACTCTGGCAAATAAAACAAAATACCATAAACAACAGAATTTGGAAGTGAGTTTGACTAATAATGCCTAGCACATGTACGTATTTGTTTTTTTATTTTAAAGAAGGTAAAATTAAACAGAACAAAATAGAACAAAACAGATCATAAGGAAACAATTTTAAGAAACACAGATTTCAAAGCAAGACCACTGGAGATCTTCACTGTCTATCATATTGTCTCTTGTTTTCTTCAAATAGTTGTCCACATCTTCACACATAGTGAATACATACTGAACATTATAGTACTAAACTAATCAGAACAAGATGAAGGCAAGTTAACAATAGCTGCAAAAATGTCTCTCATTCTCTTCGAAATAGCTGCCCATATGTTTATGTGTGTTGAAATTAAACATAAGAGACTAGACTAATATCACTCTGAACAGTGAATAATAGAATTGCTAGATTTTATATCATAATGCCACAGAATTAACAGTGGGTATCTTAGTGTCTCTTCTTCTTCAGAGTATCTGTTCATTACATCGTGCATTATATAATCTGTTCCCGTTAACTGTTTAGAAATTCTACACATGTGTGAATCTCTACATGTATACCTATCCTTTCTGTATTATAGGGAAAAACAGATCAAAACAAGACAACAAAACAAATTCCTAGAAAAACATGAAAGACATATAAAAACAAAATATTAGGTGTTAGGAGTAGTTACTATGCTGTCTCTTGTTATTTTCAACAGAATTGTCTACATCATCAGGTATAATATAATTGAACATAGCATTAAATATCTATTTTAATAAAAACACAACATTGGAGACATTGTAGAACTTCAGAAGCAGTTAATAATCAAAGCGGAACTGGTATGTTATTGCATCTTGTCATCTTCAGAGTAGTTGCACCTACTCTTAGACTTGATATTATCAAGCATACCAAATTCGAATAAAATCAGTCAAGACCAAACAGTGGCCTAACAAATCAGATTCAAATAAGATCAGTCATAGTAACATAGTGTAAGTAGTACAGGGCTTCAGTTTAACAGGAAATTAAGGATAGCCATTTTTGGGATAGCTGTCTGTGCCCTCAAATCTAGTATGAGTAGACAGACTGGAACAGAATAAAATCAAACTAAATAGATAAGACTAATGTGGCTTTTAAATCTTGATACACTATTAACAATGTCCTCTGCCTTCCTTTTTTAGACAATTTCTCCCCTTTCCCTTTCTCAGGGTAGTTTGTATATTTTGGGTCCCACAAACTCCTTTAGTTTTTAGATTAGGGGGGCAACCCATTATCTATCTAAGTGACGCTGAACCTTTTTACCCCTGAGCTTGATCTTGAGCTGTATGCCTTTACTTACTAAAGCCTCAAGGTTTTCCTTCCTTATAGCTGAGTAGTTCTCCACCGCACAAAAGTGTCATGACTTTCCAACCTATCTTCCGCTGCTGGACGAGCTGTCCCTATTTCTCTGATTCCCTGTCACATAAAGCATCATTTTCTCATCTTTGACTTTATTATTTATTAACCCTCTTTCAGGTAGATTGTATTTCCTATTCAGAGCATCTTGATGGATCCTATCTCCTGATGTACTCTGCCTGTGTTTCTTTTTGTTAGTGTATCAAGGCCATCTATATTAGACATTATAGCCAACCTTCTCAGCCTCATCTCTGCTATTATTTATCCACTTTTCTTCTTCATTCCACTGTCTGCCCCATTCATTGAGGCCTCTCTGCCACTGTTGCTGGAATCCTGGTATTTTTTCTATCTCTCTCTAGTTCTTCACTAGTTTTTATAGGGTTGGATTGGTGGTCACGAACTCCCACAGCTCTTCCTTGTCATGGAAACATCTTGTCTCTCTGTTAATTTTGAGAGAGAGTTTTTCAGGGTACATCCATCTGGGTTGGAGGTTATTTTCTTTCAGGGCTTGGACTACTTCACTCCAAGCTCTTCTTGATTTGATAGTTTGTGTTAAGAAGTCTGTGGTTATTTTGATGGATTTTCCTTTGTAGGTAATCTGTTTCTTTTCTCTGACCACTTTTAATATTCTGTTCTTGTGGTGAATTTCTGGGATCTTGATTATTATATGTCTGAGTGTAGATCTGTTTTGATTGTAGTTGGCTGGAGTTCTGTATGCCTCATTTATCTGGATATCATTTCTTTTTCCTATGTTTGGGAAGTTTTCCTTAATTATTTCTGTGAATAGCCTTTGTAATTCATTTGTATTTACTCCTGCTTCTTTGCTCACATTTTTTATTCTTAAGTTATAGATCTTCTTGTTGTCTTCTAGCATTTGTATTGTTACTTCCTGGTTCCTTGTTATTTTTAAGAGGTCTTTTCCTTCACAATCACACATTGCAAATCTAACTTCAAATTTTGAAAGGCTAACTTTAGTTTCTGTCAAGGCATTTTGCCAGCTTTCAATGGAGTTTTTAATTTCCTGGTAATCTCTTTGGATCTGTTTCATGTATTCTAGATTTTGTTTATATTCTTCACCAAAAGTTTCTCTTCTTTTTCTGGGTTCCTTCATTCTTCCATCTGTGTCTTCTTGAGAGGGGCTTAGCATTGCTTTTATTAATCCTTTTATGTCTTGCCTCACTTGGATTAGAATTTCAGTTTTACATTCGTCTATGAGTTCACAAAGGTATTTCTTTATGTCCGCTAATGCTGTGGCCGATATTGCATGATTGCTGCCCTAGATCTCTTCTGTATTTACCTCTTCTGGACTTATTTTCCCAGGGTCAGCGGCTGGAGGCTTTTTATTATTTTTTTCTCTTGTCGTGTTTCTGATTTCTTTCAGACAGGTGTATGGTGGAGGTCTCAGGCCCCATCTGTATTGCTTACGGTTTTTCTGAAGTGTGCTGGCTGGGGGATTGCTGCCTTCTCTAGTTCGCTGTTATCTGAGGTGCACGCAGGGATAATGCAGGCTAGCCTCCCTCTTCTCCGAGCCAGTCAACTGGCGAGTGCCTTCAGCACATTAGTCTGTGCTATGTGGACATCACAGGTTCGGGACAGTTTCGTCCCTGGCTATTGCGTCCCAACCAGGGGTGTGACCCAGCCCAAGTAGATCCCACCAGTCTTCTCTGGGCCAGGGGCAGCTGACTGACGCCACTGCAGTTCTGGGTTCAGGCCTGTCCCGCTCAACTCCAAAATGTCCTCCAGCCTGCCACACCCGCCGCGGGATCCAACTTCCAGCACTCACCACGAATTAATGCAGCTCTCCACCTCCACTGCGTCCTCCCTTCAAGGGCCCTGGACTCACCAACTCCTGTTATCCGTGGCCACGGTTTCAGTTCAACCGTGAATCATCCGATTCCAGGGCGTGCCTAGCACAGCGTGGGACCAGTTCCAATGAGAGCATCTGGTTCCAGCCTTTCATCCATGGTTTTCCTTCCTTTCTTTCTTTTTCTTTTCCCTCAGTTTCTTTCTGGGTTGTGAGAATCCCTCTCCTTTCGTTTGGTCTTCTCCATGTTAAATTCTAGCGTCTGAGTTGGTTTTCACAGAGAGGCTCTCTATCCTGCTACCTATCAAGCCACCATCTTCAGAACTTTTCCACATGCACATATTTGAAGACTACAACAATGCCTGAGTCACAGAAATGAGGGAAGTTACTGAGACTGGACAAAAAATAATCCTGTGTGCAGTAAGTTTTCAATCTCACCTTGTCTCAATAATCATCTTTCATTCCCTGGGAAGATTTTTCCATCTGTGTGGACAGATCAACAGGTCTCTGGAGCCTGATAAGATCTGAGCTACAATTTGTTCTTACTCATGTCACAGACCCCTCTGAAAATCACCATTTCACAGGATCCCACCTCTGAAAAGCCACTGTTGCAATCACCAAGCCTGTTCTCAGTACCAGTTCTAGACACTTTTAAGAAACAGCTGGTGGTGAGCCAGCCATGCCAGAATGTGGGGCTGTGAGGACACCCACAAAGCAAGGTGAGGCACATCAGCAAAATGAGGCCAAAGATGTCCCTTTGCCACAGGTGCACCACTCCAAGGACAGCTGAATTAGAAACATGTGCAGGAATAAATCTGGAGGACCACAGAATCCACTGGTCACTGAATGTTGGTATACCACACATTATGGTCATACTGCAAAATTCCTTAGCCAGAGAAAACCTTTACAATTTGCTTTGAAATGTCTTTGCTTCTGTCTGGGGAGGACAATGATGTCTAAATCATCATGTGTTCTCACAATGACCACATCCCCAGTGTTTGTCAGATAAAAGCTATGGTGACAGAAAGCCAGCCCCATGGCTGACAATTAAAGTCCCCCACCATCTTTCCACATCCACATCAGGCCTCCGAAGTTTCTCTTCGCTCTGAAGGTAAAATCCAAGATCTACTCTTTGCTGTCACTATATTGCTATCTCAGCACACCAATGCAATGTTGTCCATTTATTCCATGACACTGTACAGTACTTGAAACCTGAAACCATCATTTCAAGTCTCCCTCCCAATCACTTCAAAACTCTCCCCACTCACAGTGGCACTCAATACACATTAATACATTAGTCTTAGTCTCTGCCAAGTTCTATCCCTTCACAATTAAGCTAATAGCGCAGTTCCAAAGCAAAATGATGAAGCACCAGAATCCTTGAGATCAATACTGCCTTTTCAGGCATAAAAATTCTTACTTACTCCTACTAAATTATCTGGAGCCTAGACATGACAGTATGCACTTGTGATTTCCCAGTACTCTGAGAGGCTGAAGCAGGAAGATTGCAAATTCAAGCCCAGGTTGGGCAATTTATAAAGATCCTGTTTCAAAAAAAAAAAAAAAAAAAAAAAAAGGCTGGAAGTATAGCTCAGTGAGAAGATCCTGGGTTCAATTCCCAGTAGGGTGGTGGTAGTGGGGAAATTCAGGGCTACAGAGCACAAGAGCCATGGCCTACAAAAGCAATGTCACCTAACAAAGAGGAGCAGGGCACTAAAGCAACCATACTTAAAAAAGACAAATATAGGGGCTGGGGATTTAGCTCAGCAGCATAAACACTTGCCTTGCAAGCAGTCGTGAGTTTGATCCCTGGTACTGATAAAAAAAAAAAAAAAAAAAAGACAAATCTGCAGAAGAGAGAAGCCAGGAGTCCCAGAGAGAATGTGCCTCACAGGCAAAGTGACGATGCCTACATTTAATGCTGCACAGGAAAGAGAACCACTGGCCAAGAAAGTTCAAGTTCTCCTGATGATAAACATGGCAGCAAGTGGGTCCAGCTGTAGGAGCCTGAGGCCATCATATACTCCAATCTCAATTTCCCTTTTTCTGATTTCTTACTGAACAAGACACCTTTTGATTCCTAAACAATCCTACCTTCTTCCAGAGATGGGGTTATGCAGCCCTCCAGAATGCAGAACTCTGAGACTATGATTTAATCTAGTAATTCATGAAGATAACACCTGGTCACATGCAGGTCCTCTGGAAGCTGACTAAACAACTCCGACCATGGCAATGGTCCTCCCAGAAGAGCAATAAACTTGCATTCTCTGCCTATCCTCAGAATCCCCTGAATTAATTTTATTTATTTATTGTCTTTTTGAGACAGGGTCTTTATGCAGTTCAGGCTGGCCTTGAGCTCACTTTGTAGCCTAGGCTGGTCTCAAACTCACAATGATCCTCCTGCCTCAGCCTCCTGAGTGCTGGGATTACCATGCTTGACTCTCCTGAATTTTAGTTAGCATGATGACTCAGTCATTCAGGATCTCATTATCTCTGACTGCTGACAAAGGCAAATCTCCGGGTAACAAGGAGGAAGACCAGACAGTTAGGGGTGTGTAGGAAGAAAGCTGTTATTAGTAACATGTTCTTTTCATTTTATGATTATATTTTTAAAAAGTTTTCATTATATGATCATTTTTGACCACTTGCATTCCTATGTCCCTTAGACAGCAGACACAAGGCAAAGCTATCACTAAGAACTTAGCAAGGTGCCTAACTCTAGGTTCACTTCTGCCTGCTGTCATGGGACTTTATATTGAGAAACCATGGTCTCAGGCACCTACAGGGCTTCAAGTTTGCACCACAGCAGAGCCCTTGCAAGAGATATACATATCCACAGCTGCTTCTTGAGACTGTTCCTATTGGTAGTTAGATACAAAGCACAGTCCAAGAAAAAACATGATTTCCTAAAGATAATTATGCGTGAGGCCATACTAGTAACATATAGTAAACAGGACCATATACATGTGAAAACCAAAGGCCAACCTCAGGTCACTGAGATATAAAGAATAGGTTTAGAAGAAGTGAACAAGTCTGCCTCAAATCCTGATTCCTTTATCACCAGTCTGTGAGATCTTGGGCAAATTTCTGATCTACTATTAGTCTGTTTCTTTATCAATAAAACAATGAAAAAGCAAATACAAATTACTGCCAGTATTGAATGTAATAAAGTATGGGGTCTTAGCTGGGCATGGTAGCACTCTGGAGCGATGAGGCTGACGCAGGCAAGTTTGAGCATAGTCTGGGCAACTCAGTGATTTAGCAAGACTTTGCCTTAAAAAATAAAAAAGGGGGATGTAGCTCAGGGCAAAAGCCCTGCGTTCAATATTCAGTGTAGAAAGGGAAATAAAGGTATAGTGTCTGTCCTATGCTTTCAATAGATAGGTTCAATTATTAGTACTACTGTTTTCCTTTCAATTGCTGCTTATCAAAATTGATAATTGATTATAGTCTCATTTAAGTATATTATTATTTTTTTAAACACTGGGACTAGACCTAGAGATTTGTATGTTATGCAACCACTCATCACTTGGCTACACCTAGTCTTTAAAACTGAAGAATCTCTTGAGACAGGATCCTGTATAGGCTAATCTACTTGACTCAACCTACTGAATAGCCAAGATTACAGGCATGAACCACTACATCTAGTGAGAAAGCACACTATTTCTTTTTGTTGCTTTTTGTGTGAGGCTCAGTCTCACTCTGTTGTTCAGGCTGGCCTCAATCTCATGTTGATTCTCCAGCCTCACCCTCAGCCTCCTGAGTGCTGGGATTGCAGGTGTGCACCACCACACCTCACTCAGTACACAACTTCTTAAAGCAACTGGCAAAAAACCCCAGGTACTTTTGAATCTGAGTAATGTCAGATGGTTTTCATTTCCTTTTGCCATTCATAGTATACCATTACTGAAAGCTATTAAAGGACTATAAAGGCAAAAGTCTTGAGGAACCCATAAATAAACAGCTATGTTTCACTAACAATAAAATACAAACTTCTCGTTATAAACTGAAGCCACATCCCAACTGCTTTCCTTTTCCATTACACGATGGCTACATTTTGTGCCTAAAACTTGTGCCTGAACTTGCTCTCCACAGGGTCTGAAACACAGGCAAGTTCCCACGGCAGTTTCTTGCCATAAAGACCTTGGCTCAAAAGTCACCTTTCCGAAAGGACTTTCCCATCACTTAAGTGGATGACCCCACCCGACATTGAATCACCTCAGTTATGGCCTTATTAGTTGTCTGTGTCCCTCTACTATACGGTGCACTGGGTGAGGGCGAGGACGACACCTCGCCTCTGTATCACAGGACCTGCAGTGGACTGAGCTGTCACCCCACGGGGACTCAGTAGACACCTGTGTAACGAAGGTTAGCCGTTCACCTGGCCCACGTCACAAAAGTGTCAGGCCCCACTCCCTCTACAGCACTGAACTCACAGTAAAGCTCCAATGGGCACCTAGTCGAGATACTAAGTCCGCCACGGACTAAGCAAACAAGAAAGCGCCCGCTACCTGCAGAAGGACTAGACCTCAAACTCACTGGCCCAGCGACCGCAGTGGCCGCCTAAGGGACAGTCTGCACCCCACGGGCGCAGAATTTCCGCCTTTATAAAGCTGGTTCTGAGAATGGTCGAGGCAGGCTGAGGCCAGAAGCTAGAGAAGACCGGGTGAGCGGCCGGCGCCGATCTTACCCCGACCCAGCCTCCCTGGCGTTCCAGGTTCTCGGCCCCAACCGCGGGCCCCTGTTCTACGTCCACGGCCCTCCCCGGGGACGGTCCCTCAGCCCTCGCCCTGCGAACACCCGCTGACAAGGTCCCGACCCTCCCCGGCCCTCGCTCCGCGTTCCTCACCGGGTGGCTGTCCGGGTAGCTCCAGAGAGACGTGGCCGAGCCAGGGGCGGGGCGCGGCGGTGCGACGGCCTCAGGTCTCCGGAAACAACCTGGGCGCGTGGCCTCCGTTCCGGAACAGAAACTGTCTTTGCCTGCTCACTAGAAACTACCCCCGCCCAGGGTCAGTATCAAGCTCACCCCAGACAATCCAACGAAGACTTCAGAAAGTGACAGTAAGATTTTGTGGCCTTTTCCTTGGTACAAACAACTACCACATTAATTGGACCAGCTCTGACAGAAATCCAGACAACTAAACTTCCGGCGGAAGTGGCGTGGCCGGGGCTTCGAGCCGCGGCCACGCCTACCCCTGCCGTCAGGTTGTGGGCGTGACCTAACCCCATCCCCCTCTTGCGGCGGGCGTGACTCGCGTGCGTCACCGCCGCCGCGCCCTAAAACCCGTGCTGCGCAGTTTGTGGTCCTCAAGTGCTCCCTGTTCGGACTCTGAGCACAGGTTAGGTGTCGGGTTATTGTCGGCCTGGATGCAGGTGCTATGCAGTCCCAGTCGTCCAAAACTGACTTAGGAGGATCGCCGCGAGTTGGAAACCAGCCCTTGCTACACAGTGAGTCCTATCTTACATAGCGAAACCCTGTCCAAAAAAGACAAAAAAAAAAAATCCCAAACTGGCAGGAGACTCAAATTCATGTCGCTTTTGAGAGCAGTTTGGCGAGATGCTATCTTAAAATAATAATGATGATAATGATAATGCAGAGTTGGGTGTGTAACTCAGTGATAGACTCTGGATTGTATTTTAGCGCCGATAGGCTTACACGGGAGGATCTGTAGATTGGAATCAGTGTAAGCAAAGTAGCAACTTGAAGGCCAGTCTGGCAGTCCCAACCCCAAATGCCAGTTTATTAGATGATGCAAGAGGTGGGTTACAGAGCATGGAGCAGATGTGCTGTGGGATTAGTGGGGCTACATCCCAAGCCCACGTGCACTGTCTGCATCTCTGAATCCTTCCTGGGACCACACCGGATCTCCGTTGACCCAGTGGGGAGTGGCCGCCCAGCCCCCAAGTATAGGTACATTTTAATTCTTTCTAGGATGTTGCACTTTCCAGGGTAAAGATTCAGTACTTGCGTGGAACAAGTACACATTTAAGCATTTCACTTTATTTGGAGAGTCTGTAAATGGCTTGTGCTTTCCGTTTTATAGTAGCCACATGTTCGATATTCAACCACAGATAGGACTGATCCCTTGGGCTGTCTTGTACCCTAGAGACCCTACTGAGCTCACTTACTCGTTTCCAGTTTGGTTTGTTCATTTTAGTTTTTTCTTTTTTTTAATTCCTTGGCGTTTTCTATGTAGAATATTAGGTAGTAAACACATAAAATTTAACTCGAAATAACTGAAGACTCAACTGTAAAATGTATGACATTATTATAATTTTAAGGAAACAGAAAATTTTGGGGACCTGGAGCGTGGAAAAAGTTCTTAGAGTTGGAGAGTAAAACCCACAAAAGAAAGAATGATAAACTAAACCATCTGCCATCAAAACTAAACACTCTTATCTGGGTATGATGATGTTCCCTCATCCTCCTAACACTTGAGAAGCAAAGGTAAGATGATTGCATGAGATCAAGGCCAGCCTGGACTCTATAGTAAGTTCAGTACCAGCCTGGACTACATAGTGTGACCATGTCTGAAAACAAACAAATAAAACTAAACACTTGTTCTAAGCAAGACCACACATTAAGGAAATGAAAAGACAAGCTATGGAAAATATTTCCAAACCACATATTTAATAAACAAACATTACCTAGAACATAAATAAATTCTAAAAATAGTGGAAAGACAGTTGGAAAATAGGCAGAATGGATGGAGAAAAGAGGTTTTGAAAAGAGGTTCAAGGTCACTAGCAATGACAGAAAATCAAACATGTCTGCTGTGTGTAATGTTTACTTTCATCTTTTAAGGAGTAACATATCTTGATTATTTTTACTTTCCTTCCCCTCCCGAGTGCCTCTTTAGAAGGTGGAGCCAGGAAATGATTACAGAGTACACACTAGGGCAGCCAGAGTAGAATTTGGTTAGGATACCTTGAGATTTGGTATTATGACTACTCCACCCTTATCCAAGACACTATAGTTAGAGCTTAAATATGTGTTATTACTTGGGATATTTTATTTGCAAATGATGGAGACAGTAACAAGCTTGAGTTCAAAGAGAAATTATTACATTCTAGTAGATGATTGGACTAGAATACTACTGGGGAAGAGGAATGTAGCTGGGTCACAGGAATAAATGACTGAAGAAACCCAAAATAAAAAATAAGGAAAATCAAGTTAAAATTACCTGGGAGACTGGGATGTAGCTCAGTGTGAGCACTTGCCTAGCACAGGAGAGGCACTGGGTTTAATCCCCAGCATAAGAGAAGTGGTGGCAGCATTATTTGTAATATGCTGCTCCTAGCAGTATTATTTGTAATAGCCTCAAAGTGGAAATAATCCAGATATACTGCTCTGTTCCAGCTGTAGGGGTGTGGGTTGAAGGACCTTCCCAGAGTGATGATGGCTGGTAAAGGGCAGGGTTTTCATATGCTCCCACTCATCTGTTACAAACTTGCTGCAGCTTACTGCTTGCTATATGCTGCACAATTCCTGCTCTCCAAAATAAAAGTCAAATAAGAGGAAACAGGAATATCTTTGCAAGTGGAAAGAGGACAAAGAGATGGGAAGCGCCATAAAAAGAATTAACATGTGTTAAGTACCTGTACCAACTCCTCCATAATGAATGTAATGTAAACATATACTAAAATTTTTTTAAAAGTCCTCACTCTCAAGGAACTTACTTCCTGGTGGCAAACCAGTCAACAAATACATAACCAGAAGTGATGAGCTGAGATAAAGGTGGCAGAGAGATGCGTGAGGAGGTGAGCTGTGATTTTTTTTTTTTTTCTTTTTTCCTTTTTATCGGTACCGGGGATCAAACTCACAACTGCCTGCTTGCAAGGCAGGCGCTTATGCCGCTGAGCTAAATCCCCAGCCCCTGAGCTGTGATTTTTAAAGATGGGATTTTGAGATTAGTTGAGAGGCCAGCAGAGCCAACTGCTAAGCAAAACTTGAAAACACTCAGTTCCTCTATGGAAGTAGATTGGACCTAAGCCTGTATGGGGGATGGGGACAGGGGAGGGTAACAGGAGTGAAGATTTGGAGCAGAAACGAGAAAGACAAAAAAAAAAAAAAAGAGTGAAGCCAGCAGGTGGAGACAGGAACATCCTGGGGAGGCTGGGCTGCGCACAGGCTCAGCCAGCAAGGGAAGCAACTTCAGACACCATACACAGCCTGCGGGACTCGGGTGGGGTGCCTGTATTCAGTGAGGGGGGGCTGTATTCAGTAAGTAGGGGTTGCTGACATGGGCAAGAGGTGGCTGTGCAGCCATGGTGAAGGCAGAGGGAAGGTGGTCTCAGGGACAGTGTGGGTTACACTTGGTATCTGACCTACTCTGGGCTTTCTAAATTAAGTTCCTGTTTTCTTTCTTGCCCCAGATAATTTAAGTTCCCACTGGCAGGCTCCTGGTAAACTTGTGGCCCGGTGGCAATTTATGGGCCTCTCTACTAAGTCTGGCTACAGGCTACATTAGGATCAGCCTGCTTATCATTTTCCTGGGTAGCCAGACCAGAGTGACCACTAACTAGCAAGGTTCCCTTAACTGGCAGAAGCCCATCAATGATGTCCAGCAGCCAACCCACAGCCAAGAGCAGTCTGCTTCTCTCAGAACAAGGTCTAGTCATTCCAACCTGCTAGCACTTAGGCATCCAAGGTGACTTAAACCATTTCCATCAGCCCTTCCTATGGCCTTAGTAGAGGGCTGACCTGATTCCCTTATTCTTTTAAGCCAATTTTCCTGGGCCTAATGATCTCTCCCTGGGGTTGACCTGACTGCCCTCGATCCTGACCTCCCCAGTGCAGGATGACTGGCATGGACAGGACACCTGGAGGATGAGGTGCTTAGCCACATCAGAGAATACAGGGGGAGTCTGTAGGCAGCCACAGGCCGAGCTGACTCTCCCAGGACTGGACTCCAGGGCTACATGAAACACATGGGGCAGGACTGCTGCCCAGTTTTCCAGAGGACAGTGGGGGCCACAAGACAGCTACCAATGGCAGATTTTGTGGGTGGGGTGAAAGGGTCTTAAAAGTCCATAAAAACCCTTCCAGAATCCCACCCACCTGCACCTTGGGTCACTCCTGGGAACAATAGCCTGAGTCTGAGTGTATCTTGGGTTGGAGCCAGTGAGGCCTAAAGCAAGGTGCAGTTCCTCTCCCAATACAGGCAGAAGAAAGGTACTGTATCCTCTATGGATCTGGCTCTGAAGAGGGCAAGGAGAGGTAGTGAGTGCTGGGGTCATCTCTCAAAGGCACAGACATGTAGCAGCCTTGCCTTTCTGGCTCAAGACATCCACCCACCCTGGACAAACTGGCTGTGGCTTCTCAGAGTGGTGAAGTGAAAGTCCCTGGACCCACTGTAACAGATGATGCAGAGCTGGCACCCCAACATGGTCAGATGGCAAGATGCTTATAGAGGTGGCATGAAGAGGGAACAGTGGTGCATCTTCTGAGGAGAAGCTTATGTCAGCCCCACACAGGAACCCAATACAGAGAGGAGAGAAACAAACACGGCTTGTTTATTAGAACTGAGAGAGGAATTGCTCTCCCACAGATAGAAGAGTGCTGCCTCTCAGTGTGTATCAAGAGCAAGACAACAATTGAAAAGTGTATTCCTGAGAAGAAGCAAAAAAGTTACCAGCTTGCAAACAAACATAACAGGTGAGTTCAACAAAAAATAAAACTTTTTTTAAAAACAAAAAACAAAATTTCAAGTATAATTCCAGATAATGTGGCAAACCTAATGTAGGAGGGGAGGGCTCCAGCGGGGAAGGCCCTTCATCCACCTGCTCTGTAGAGGCCTGGCAGAGGCTGGAGCTAGCCTCATCTTACTCCACCACAGCCCATGGCCAGCCCAGTGCTGGGGAGGGCAGTGACACAACTCACCAGCATCAGCAAGGAGCTGCTTACTTGTCATCTGTGTCCATAGTTGGCAGTCTAGGACATTTGATCTTTTTTTTTAATATTCAGAAACCTTCTTTCAAATATACTATACCCAATTTAGTCAATTTGTAAATTATAAATTATATTATTTGCACTACCGTTTGTGATATTTAAATCTTATTAGAAGATAAGCACCATAACTATTAAAAAATATATAAGAGGCTGTGTTTGTCCCAACAGCAGAATATTCTGTACATCCTGTATGCTGTAAACCTACACGTTCCCTTTCCCTAACAGAGTGCTTCTGACACTTTCCCCTTTCTTTCATGAAATTTTTCCTGAAAAGAGATTTCCATTTTAACTGCAGTTCTGGAAAAGGAACAAAAAGAGAAAACCTGCACAGTGACCACTTGCGGAGGGTGGGTCCAACTGTGGATCTGGCAGGAGGCCTGAGTGTGGGCTCAACTGCCGGTTTTCAGCAGAAGGCTGTTGCTGCCACCTTGCCCTCCAGGCTGACTGGGCATCTCGCTCACGTTAAAGCTCCACAGTGGCTAATCACAGAGTCCAGCCTGCACTACTGGGAATGGTAAAAATACCCTCAGAGGTCTGTATTCAGAATTTTCAAAACACAGTGTCCCTGTCTCCATGGCTCTGTGCTGTTTCCCTGATGTTCAGTTCTTGAACCTTGTCTGCTCACAGATGTGATTAAATTTCCTGCAGGGAGAAAATGGACAAATTACACAAGACAGCACCACAGAAATATTCAATTAAGTGAGACTTAAAACTGCTTCCCAGAAGAGTCACATAAAAATTGTATGAGTGCATGGACTCACAGCAGTTGAGTTAGTACATTTTAAATAACATCAAAGAAATTATATCCCCAAGATAACTTTGGTTTTCCTGTTTTAAATTTTAAAACAGAAGGGAAAACACCTAGGCAATTTTCTCAGAGAAAAAAGTACGAGTTGTACTTCTTTAGAGTTTGTCCCAGGCTCTACATGTCACCTGCATGACACAAGAGGTGACAGTGGCTTCCCCTCACACATTGTGGCCATTGACAGAGGAAGATGGGTTGTGCCTTTGAACCCACTCCTACTTTTATTTAAAAAGGTTAGCTACTAGTGAAATCTCTGCTCTAAAAATAAAATGGTCTCTTTCACATGCCAGTTATGCTCAAAGACAGTACAAAAGCTTTTGTTTTTTGAGACAGGAACTCACTGTGTAGTTCAGGCTTGCCTTGAACTCTTGGCAATACTCCTGCCTCAGCTCCCAAGTGCTAGGGTTACAGGTGTGCACTACTACACACAGTTTTAGGCAAGGTTTTTATCCCACAAAAACACTCCTTGGGAGGTGTCACCTTCACCTGAGTCCTTATGTCTCATACTGAGCGCACTGGCACAATTTCATCAATTTGAACAAAAAATGCCTGTTTGGAGATTATATTTAGGAGTGTTTAAAAATGAGTGTGAAAGATTACTCCTGAGTTCTGGTCTGCCAAGGCAATGCAGGTGTTGCTGTGAACATACTTTAAAGACCACAAGAGGCCACAGGTGGGATGACCGAGTTACAGTGACTGCAAATGCCCATTCACAATAATAGAAGAAGAAAAAAAGAAAAATCCACCCATCTGAGCATTATGCCAGTGCACCTGTGGCTTGAGATGGATTAAAGTGCTAAGTTCAACAGTTGGCTGAGCTCCAGGAACTGTCCGACCAAGGGTAAACTGATTTTAGCCATGAAGTAAGCATGTGGGTACAAATATTTTAGTAAGTAACAAAAGAGGAAGAGTTATTTTACATGCTCTCTGACTTTACAGATGTGTAATGACTAAACATATGTAGCATACATAAGCATGACTATGTATGTAATATATTGTGTGTTTATGTGTGTGTGCATGTGTATGGAACCCAGGGCCTGGTACATGCCAAGCACACACTCTGCCACTGAACTCCATTCCCAGCCACAAATCTGTTTTCAGCAGACTGGTAACCCCTGTGCCGCCTTCCTGAGCACCAGCCTCACTCACATCGCATGGTGGGCCTTCACCTGAGTGCGGCAATTACGGCCCCAGTAGCAATCAGGACGGGATGTCACAGATACTAGAAGAGAAGAGAGTACAGATCTACATTAGAGGTGTCACAAAACCTACCTAGCTAGCTGAATTAGCAAAGAACCATGAATGTAGAATTCCTTGTTCCTCTTTGGGATTAGTTTCCTCGGACTGCCAGGATTTCAGTAAAGGCAAAAGATGTTAACTAAAAACCAAATTTAGGAGATGAAATTATTCCAGTCTATTGATGCTTTTTTCTTGTTTTTGTCTTTTTGAGACAGGGTCTCACTATGCAATTTAGGCTGGCCTTGGGCTCACTTTGTAGCCCAGGCTGGTCTCAAACTTGCAAATGATACTCCGACTGGGATTACAAGAATGCATCACCATGTCCAGCTTGATGCCTCATGTTATCTCTGCTTTAGAATTCCACCTGCCATGACTGGTAACATCAGAGCCAGTCCCTGAGGCCAATGTGGCCCTCCTGAAGCCTTTGTGCCTGTCTTCTCCCTGGCTGGGGCAGACTTCTACTAAGGTGCTGGAGAAAGCACCAATGCCAACATGGGGCACCTGCTGATGGATAGATAGAGGACTGGGGATGTAGCTCAGAGCAGTGTGCTTGCCTAGCAAAGCCATGGATTTTATCCCTGGCGTGGGGGAAAAAATACCCAAAACCAAAAAGGAGGTAGAGAAGCCAAAGCAGATGGAACTGGAGCTTGTGGGGCTCCTCACCTGGCAATTCAGAAGCAGGAATGTTCTGTCGGTACTGATAGGTCAGCTCTCGGAAGCTGCGTAGGCCGCAGCAGTAGCACAGCACTGTGTTGCTGGTGACCCTGTAATCTGCAGAGAACACGCATCATGTAGGCACAGCTAGTGACAATGCAGTGTCACATTTTAGACAGCTGAATAGACACCGCACTCAAACCACTAGGAATTAACATGTGAATCTGCATGAGATAGAAACAATGGGCTTGACATTTGGAAAATAACCAAACTGTCCATCTATCAGTTTACTCCCATACAGCAAAATAATTCCACACATACAGGAAAATTTAATTAAAAAATCCAAAGAGCCAGGCACGGTGGCACACACCTGTAATCCCAGCAACTCAGAAGGCTGAGGCAGGAGGACTGCCTTGAGTTTGAGGCCAGCCTAGGCTACATGGTGAGTTTGAGGCCAATGGATTACACAATGGAGCCTGTTTCAAAGAACAATTCTAAAAGATACTACAGAGAAAACTGAAATGAACGTTATTTTCTCTTCAACTACTGATAAGTACAGGTTGAAAATTCCTGATCTAAAAATCTTGGGATCAGAGGTATCTGAGATTATTTTCTGATTTTGGGAAATCTACATGAGATATCACAGGGATAGAACTCAACTCTAAGCAGGAAATTCACTTAGGTTTCATATACACCTTATAGCTTCCAGTTAGGCAGGTAGGCAGGTGGGTAAAAGGTAGATTAGCTGACCATGTATGCATGTATGTGTATCTATATATATGTATTTAGGTGGACACTGGGGATTGACCAGTGCCTCTGCACTAAGCTGTATCCTCAACCCTATTTTTTATTTTGAAATGGGGTCTGGCTAAATTGTCCAGATTGTCCTCCTGCTCAGCCTCCCAAGTAGCTGGGCTGACAGGGAGGTACCACTGCTCTTGGCCTGAAAGTAGTTTTAGGCAGTATTTTTAGTGCATCTGTGTTTTTAACAGTGACCATTACAGAAGGGTAAGGATGGAATTTTTCTTTGGTGACCTTGTGTCAGCAGCAATCAAAAAGTTTTTAATTTTAGCCAGGTATGGTGGTACACACCTGTGATTCTAACTACCTGTGAGACTGAGCAGAAGAATCCCAAATTTCAGACTAGTGTACATAAACTAGCAAGGTACTATCTTAAAAAAAAAAAAAAGTGTGGGGATACACCTCAGTGGTAGAATGCCACATGTGCAATACCTAGTACCACATACATGCACATGCACACACACACATATGCAAGTTCTGGATTTGATAGCTTTTCAGATTAGGAGTGTTCAACTCATATAAAATGAAAACAGGTAATAAAGGATTCATAAATTTAAACATCAAAATGGAAATATGACAAATGTGAAATACTAATGATACAGTGGAAACATTTGCGATAAAAATGATGTTATTATAAAGTAAATGAAGATACCATGTAAATTCATACCAAGACAAACAGACAAGAAAAGTCCCAGGCCAGGGATATAGCTTAGTGGCACAGCACCCGTCTGACAAATGGAAGGTCCTCAGTTTGATTCCTGGCACCAAAAAAAACCCCAAAGAGCATAATACAGGCTAAGATCACAGTCAAGGAAATGTCACATGAATGAAAAAAAAATTTCAATGTGGTTAATAATCAAACATGGGCAATTAAACAATGATAGATATGGTCAGTCTCTCACATCTTCATAAGCTGTCACAGCAGACAGGCTGGAGATGCTACCCTGCACACCCTGCAGGACCACGAGTCTGTACAACTTGGAGGACAATGTGACCGTCTATGCTGGTGTGTACACTTTCCCACAAACTCCACTTATTTGTTGTAAGGTACCTTTTTTTCCCTCTAGTACTATATATTGAACACAGGCCCTTTACATTGAGCTCCACACCCAGCCTTTTTATTTTGACATGCAGTCTCAGAAAGTTGCCTAAGATAGAATTTTTAATTCTCCTACCTTAGCCTCCCAGAGTACTAGAATTACAAGTGTGTCACCATAGTGGCTTAAGGTGACAGTTTCTCAAGTCTATTGTATCGTATGCTCAAAAATTGTGATGTCATTTAAAATACTAGAAGTAATTCATATATCCTTTTTTTTTTTTTTTGGTACTGGGGATTGAACTCATGATCTTGCGCTTGCCAAGCAGGCACTTACGCCACCAAGCTAAATCCCCAGCCCAATTTATATATTCTTTATTATCAAATTAGGAACAAGCTATGGTATCACAATACTATGTAATAATAAAGAATCGGGGCTGGAGATGTAGCTCAGTGATAACCTGTTTGTTTCCCATGCACAAGGCCCTGGGTTTTAAACCTGGTGTTCAAAATGACAAAGAAAAACCCAAAACCAGACTTCAAGGTGTGTAGACCTTTCTTGGCAGAAATGGGTACATGACACATTGATGAGTGAAAAATAGGTACAAAGAACACACACACAGTAAAGTGGAATATGTGAAGCTATCCACAAACAGGCACATGTATGTGGAAGGACTGGAAAGGTGGTTAACAAAGACACCATTCTGGAGTGTCTCTTTTTGTTTGCTTTTCAGCGCTGGGAATCCAACCCAAGTTCTCAAACATGCCAGGCTAGTGCTCTACCACTAGCTTGCCCCAGCCTACCTGCATGTGTTTTGAGTGGTAGGATTTCCTATGAGTTTCACTTTAACCTTTGTACTACCTACACCATTGGAATTCTTCATGAGTCACTGTGATTATTACAAAAGTAAGAAACCATTAAAAAGTGAAAGTTTAAAGCACCCAGTAGAGATGGTAGCCACAGAGGAGACACTCACTGAAATGAGAGCATAAGATAAAAATAGCTCATGGGGTTTTAAGCAGAAAGTTTTCTTTTTTGTGGGGGGAGGGTTTGAGGCAGGGTCTATGTAGTTCAGGTTGATCTTAAGCTCATTACAGAGCCCAGGATGATCTCTAAATTGTGATCATCCTGCTTCAGCCTCCTAAGTGCTGGAACTACAGACATGATCCACCATGCCCAGTCTAAGCATAGCTCTTTAAGTTTTTTTAAAATCATATTTCTTGTCTTAGAAAAGAACTGCTTGCTAAAATTTCTGCAGCATGGCTGCATGGCAAAGACCATATCCAAGGCACATGTACCACCCTGGGAAAGGGAACAACATTCACTGTGTGATAACTAACCCAGAAACAGATGAAGGAGGGTCTAGGACTAACCAGCCCAGGACCTCAGTGTGGGGGAGAATGGAGTCTCCAAAGCTGCACCTCCATTCTCCCATAGAGGGAAAAGGTGCAAGAATATATCACACAGGTTAAACCCAAGTTTTTTAAAAGACTCCAAAGTATAAGACCTTTCTTTCTCTCTGCTGGGGTGGATAGAGGTTAAAATCATAAATGTAGGAAAACAGATAGATAATACTGCCCAGGTATGGCCTGCCAGGGTTGCAAGAAACAAAGGCTAACCTTAGAAACTTATGTTCACTCCAGAGAAATCGAGGCAAGGGGCTGGGGATTTAGCTCAGAGGCATAAGTGCTTGCCTGGCAGGTGCAAGGTCTTGAGTTCCATCCTTGGTACCAAAAAAAAAAAAAAAAAAAAAAAAAGAAGGCAAGGCAAGGCACTTACCAGATAGTAAAAACACTCCCCGCTGCAGAGCCATGAGACTTTCTGCCAATATGTTTTTCCACGTTAGGCCCCTGGTTGCCAGGTAATTCTGTGATGGGAAAAAAACAGCATTACGAGAGTATAGCAGACAAGAGGGAAAAACACTAAATGATAAGACAGGAAAAACTTCAGAAATATCCTGGAGCGTGGCCAAAGGCAAAGCACAGTGGCCATAGGCAGCATCTACACAGAGCCACAGCCAAGCTTCTGGGTCAGTGCATCCCACCTGGCTACCAAACTTCTCACTTGTCCCAATGAGGTGAGAAGACCTTTGACCCTGTGCCATCTTCTCTCAAAAATCCTGCAAAAGCATTCGTAGCACAGGAGAATGGAAAAGCCACATCTTGTATGGAGCCTCACAGTTCCAAAGAAAGAAAGACTGAAAACCTAGGATCGGCTCTCCTGCCCTTCAGAAACAAGGGGCTATGAGATGGGCTCCTTCTGTGCAGACCTATACAACTGTGCCTAGTAGAATAAAACTGGTGTGATGCCACTGAACAGGGCAGGCCTGTTGCTTTGTCTGAGGCACTCAAAGGCTCCACTGCTGTGCACTACCAGCAGCACTGGACATGAACAGGAGGGAAGCACGGTTCTCAGCTGGAGGCTGAGGTACATGTTGAGCATATTAAGATTCTAAGGGCTGAGCTAGCTTCCTCAAATACAGGAAAGAAAATGGTCAGAAAATGAAAAAGTCAGAGAGATGGTTCAGCTCTTCTAAGAAATCCTTTCAGTGAGCTGCAGGAACTAATTTCTATAGATTTGTGACATGATGGAAATATCTACTTTGGAATAAGGGGGAAAATAAAGATACACTAGTGCACTGGTAGTGAACCTATGTACACATGCCATAGCAGGCTGTTGGTATCACTGAGAGCTCAGGAAAGTTCGCTGTCACTGGACTAGTAGAATGCAGAGGACCAACTACACTATGCATAAAGGGAAGGACAGAGTCCTGTCACAGTGGCATAAGTCCCTCGAGGCCTTCTGGTTTCCAGCTCGCCCAGGTGAATCTGGTGCAGCACCTTCAGGATGTCTGACTCATAGTTGTTGTTGTTCAGCACTCCATCCAGACACTTGTCCCCCAGGTTAAGTTCTGCCAGAGGAAGGAAGCAATGTTATCTGTTTTACAAAGATGGACACTGTATCGTATCAAAAATATTGTTTACCAGAGAGAATAACCAAACTTTTTTCCATTATGGATTGTGGAGAGAATAAAAAGTTCCATGATAAAACACAATTTAAAACAGAGAATAAAGCCAGGCATGGTGGCACACACTTAATTCCAGCACTGGAGAGACTGAAGCAGGAAGATCACTGCAGGTTTGAGGCCAGCCTGGGTTAGTGAGCTCATGGCCAGTCTGAACTATTTAATAAGACCCTATCTCAAAAAAAAAAAAAAAAAAAAAAAAGGGCTGGGGATTTAGCTCAGTGGCATAAGCACCTGCCTTGCAAGCACACGGCTGTGTGTTCAATCCCTGGTACCAAAAATAAACAAACAAACAAAACCAAAAAACACAACACGATGGGGAAAAAACCCCAAAAAGTAAAATAGAGAAAAAGTAAAAATGATTTCTATATCTTACTCTCCTGAAAATAAGACTGCCAGGTGTCATCAGTACTTGGTCTGGTATCAAAAATCTGAATGCCAGAGCAAGACTGTTCCTGTAGCAGTGTTTCTGAGTGTAGAAATAAATCTTCCTATACTATAATCTAGCATTTTCCCTAATTGTTTTGTCTTTGCTTGACTGTGCACTAACATGAACTCTAAGTCCAATAGTGAACCTCTGAAATTCAGTATGAAAAGCCATGTAATTATGGGGTGACTTAAGAATGGCCTCATTTCCCATAGCAGGTCACCATGACACCGTTGTTACCTGCCCTGCCCTTAAGTTAACAAGAGATCATGCAAAGGTCAGAGCAACTCGGAAATGAAAAGTCAGAATTACCACAGAACGGGGCGAGGCAGCCAGAGCAGCCGGTTCGGGTGCAGCCCCAGTACAGGTGGCAGAAGGGCTGCAGACAAGCTGCACCTGTGGACAGAGCTTTGTTTCAATGCTAAGAACTCTAGACTAAAGACATTCTCTTTCCACCACTAGTTCTCATAAGGGACATGCCTTTCACAGTGAGGACTGACGTTGGGATGTGTATGGATTCATATTTGTCCCTCCTGGAGGGTGACCTGCCCACATCCATGGACAATGGTTCCATATGGGGCAGCATTATCATTGATAGAAAAGACCAACAGCTCAACTTGTGTGGGACCAACTGACTATGCAGACCGAAGAAAGCAGTGCATCTTTGCTGCACAGCCCACACAAAGGTGAAAGCCACCTGACACTGACCCCTGCAGGACACTGCATCATCAGACAGCTCACTCACACTGCTGGGGTGGAACACGGGGGTCCTGCTCGCGCTCTGCTCTCCGGTCAGGCATGGGTTGGAAGCAGCAGGTACATATGGCATGACTTCCTTGCACAGGGCACACGTAGTCTTGGGCTGCTGAAGACATGCATGTTTGGGATAGAGCATGTGCAATGCCAGGCAGACAGATACCAGATAGAGATTTACCTCTCGGGAAGCAGCACGTACAGATGAGGAGAGCCAAGCCCCAAGAGAAACCTAAAGAGGATTCAGACTGGTTCCTAAACAGGCAAATTATATTCTGCTATTTAAACTGAGAGTTCACAAGATGGAAAGTAACCAAATACTGGAGGCTGGAGATGTAGCTCAGTGGTACAGTGCTTGCCTAGGATGTGAGGGCTTAGTCTCTAGGACTGCAAAAAACAAAAACCAAAAATTATCCTTCAGTTCAGTGTTTGTAACAAGATTTCAAAGAATAGTCAAATATTTTCTATTCTTTCGTATGAAAGCAGGACAGGCTCATAAAGCACATATTATAAAACAATACAAGTTGTATATTTAATTTCTGCTGAGGAAAAAGAACAACTATATCCTTCCAATAAACAAAACACAGATATGGCGGGGAAGATTGGTCTGACACAGGGAACATCCACATGGCATGTTCCCTGGCCAGACCATCCGGAAGTAACCATGTCGACTCTCACAACACACTGAGCACCAATGGGGACTGGGCTCTCTCTGTACATGATACATATTCCCAGTTTTAGTAATCTGATGGCTCCTCATTATGCAGAGGAAGGAGCTTCTAAGTGGCAAAGTCAAACTCAGGCTGTGGCTGAGCTCCAATGCCTACTACCAGGCACTGCCTTGCTTGTCCTATCTATAGATTCCAGAGACCACCTGGAAAACTGCAGCAGTGTCCTTGACCAATCACAGCCAAAAGGCCAGAGTCTACTGAGCCATCTTTCCATTCTGTAGGGACCAAAGAATGGTCAAAATGACAGGGCCAAGTACTATGATGACGCATGGCCCTTACCAGCTCTCTCTCTCTCTCTCTCTCTCTCTTTTTGGTGCTGGAAATAAACTCAAAGGCTTTACACATGCTCAGCATATGCTCTACAGCTGAGCCATACCCTTGCTTTACACCCAGGCCCTCTCTTGCTTTACTTGGTAGCATCTGGAGACCCACCTGACAGAAAACAGACAACTACATAGAGACTGACAGGTTCTGGGATCTTAGCAGCCACTTCTGGACATGACTGGACTTCTTATACAAGGGACTGACATGTGATCGGCAGTTTGGTTTTGGCAAACTCCACTGGGGTACATGAGCTGCTCCATGACAGTGAACTGGGGTAAGTCTAAATGTTCAAAGCAGGATGGTTAGTTCTCAGGCACAGCCAGCAGAGAAGACCAACAAATAGTTAATTTATTCAATTGCTTACTGTGTTTACACTAATTACAAAATGCAAGAGACTATAAGAGGCAGTGGAGCCGTGGAGGCAGGGAAAGTGTCAGATGGGTTGGGAGGGCAACACACAAAGGAAACCAGAACAATCTCAGCCCCAACAAAGATGCAACACAAAGGACAAGCCTGTGGTGAGCCGCTGCCTCTCACCTGAGGTGAAGCTGGCGGAAGTAGATGGTGTATCCTCCTCAAGGGCCTGGGGGGTCCCCAGTGCGCTGTCTGGTGCTGGGCAGGAAAAGGGTTGTACTGCTTGTCTTCTGTACTCAGGACACTGTCTGCACATGATGTATGGCTGGCTGCAGGAAGAGCACAAGGGGGAGTACAGCCACAGAGAAGCAGGCCAAGTACCAATCTTGGATAGGGGAGTAGCATCAGAGGGCTGTTCTGCAGCTGTTTCCCCTCACTGGGGCTGTTACATCCTACTCAGCCACACCGCCACCTGGAATGTGAAACAGGAAGCAGCTGCTCCTCCAGAACCAGGCTCTGCTGTTGGTGAAGGTACTTCTCAGAACCACGTGCAACAGGAGCCTGAGGTTGAGGACCACAGCCACCACACACTACTTGCTCCATTTTTTCACTCCACAGCAACTTCTGTGGTTTTGCAGTCCCTGCTGACCATGAACAGAGTCCAAGCTCTGAGGCTGAGATGAGACCCACATCAAGGCACTGCTGGTTTACCTAGAACATGCTCTCCTTATCAAACACACAATTCCCAAGGCCAGAAAGGGCCCAGAGCGCTCATCTGCATTATTCCTCACTGACCTAAGTCACTTATCACCACTACACTTCACATCTACTTCAGAAACTACTAGGAAAAACATCTGTAAAAAAAGAAAATCTACAGAAAAAGCACATGTGGTTCTTATCTATCAGAACCTGCCTCTCTAAGCTCAAACCAGTAGCTGGGAACTATGAGAGACAGCGCAAGAGCTGATCAAATAAAATGAGAGCACAGTGAAAGGGATGAACAATTCCATTTGTAACAAAAAAGGTAAATGAAGAACTTAACTCCTTTTTCTCCTACTAAACTGACAAAGGGAACTGCTTGTGTATTCCTATTAGACTGGCATCAGTGTAATTTTTCTGATGGGCAACTGGATAACTCACATACCCAAAGTTCAGCAAGGTGTAATTCCCAGTCACATATATTTTTTGGTTCCAGGGATTGAACTCAAACCTCACACTTGCCAGACAGGTGCTTATTTCACTGAGGTAAATCCCCAGCCCCAGTCACACTCTTTTAACTCAACTATTTTATGTCTATATATTTCTCTTAATCAAAAGCTGGTCATGTGCATAAATTTAAGCATAAGGACATACCCTAGAGCACTGTTTCCAAATGCAAAACACTGGGGAATCTCAGCATCCTGAGTACAACACAATCCATCACTTTAAGAATACTTATTAGTACACTGCATTTTGTTTTGCTAAAAAAAACATGCAAATGAGCCAGGCATGGTAGCAAATGCCTGTAATCCCAGGACTTAGGAAGATGAGGCTGGAGGACCACTGCAAGTTTGAAGCCAGCCTGAGCTACACAGTGAAATCTTATCTCAAAAACAACAAACAAATAAAACAAAATGCATGTACAGATACATACAATGAGTGAGCAATTGATGAATATAATAAAATGTGAACACTAGGGCTGGAGGTTTAGCTCAGTGGCATAAGTGCCTGCCTTGCAAGCAGGCAGTCGTGAGTTCGATCCCCGGTACAGATAAAAAGGAAAAAGACAAAAAAAAAAAAAAAAAGTGAACTCTGAGGCTAGGGGTGTGGCTCAGTGGCAGAGGCTTGCCTAGCATGTGAAAGGCTCCAGGTTTCAGTATCAGCACTGAAATTTTTTAAAAAAATTTAAAAAGGCAAAAGGAAAAGAAAAAAATTGACACAAAAGTGATTTTTTGCTTTCTCCTTTTTCTTGATCATCACCACTAAATTTTACAAAAAGTAATAAAAATAATAAAAGTTGGTTTTTAAAAAATGTCTATTTAGGGATTTAGCTCAGTGGCATAAAGTGCCTGCCTGGAAAGCACGAGATCGTGAGTTCAATCCCCAGTACCAAAAAAAAAAAAAAAAAAAAGTCTATTTAATCATCATGCCCTTGCCCAAAATGCAAATCTTGGACTTCAGAGTTAAAAAACATCAGTATGTCAGCAGATAAAACAAGGTCTTGCAATGCTGTGTCCTCTTAGCCAAGAGACTATGCTTTTTCTTTTCTTTTTTTTTTTTCACTCTTCACATTCCTTGAGAAGAGACTATGCTTTCTCTATGATGCTGCTCTGTAAATGTTATCACTGCCACTTATGGTGGAGTACTCTGTGGTCATTAAATAAACCACAGGGAGTAAGTGTACTTGCATGGGGAAAAATAACACAATCATGATCCTCTGACACAGCAGTTAATCAAGTCACACAATAATAGAGTGTGAATAATTGGTGTTCTGGACCCACTGTTGGACCCCTAAATAAACCACAGGGAGTAAGTGTACTTGCATGGGGAAAAATAACACAATCATGATCCTCTGACACAGCAGTTAATCAAGTCACACAATAATAGAGTGTGAATAATTGGTGTTCTGGACCCACTGTTGGACCCCTGTTGTTTGTTGGACCCCTGTTGTTCTCTGGAGTAGCTAAGAGCATGGTGTGGCCATCTGGGGGCTCACACCATGCTCTTAGCTACTCCAGAGAACAACAAGTCTTTGGCCACGCTCCACTGCCAGAAAATAAGGCCATGCTAAGCCCACAGCTAATTTCTAATCACAGTACAAACTATACTTCTGGCTCCCATATCCCACACTGAGCCAGCACAGAAGTTACCTTATGTCTGAGGATTCGCTGTCAACATCTGACAGCACTAGCAGGTCGTCTGAACTACCTTCTTCGTCAGAAAAAGACCTCCTAACTTTGGGCTGCAGCATATCTTGAGTGATTTTATTCCTAGCATCCAAACTGCGCACATCTTCTTCACTGCGACTTTTGTCTAGATTCAAAAGACACACAGCATTCATTAAGGCCAGCCTGGGCTACACAGTGAAAGCCTGTCTCCAAAAAAAAAGAAAAGAAAAAGACTGGAGTCGAAATGATCAGAGAGATACGACTAAGCTGCTCCAAAATTCACTCATATGCTATCCCTCCAAGAGGGAAAAGGATCAGGTGGCCAACCCACTTGCCTGGGTGCTGGATGAGGTATGCTTCCACGAGGTTGTTGAGGATGTGGTTCTTACAGATCCTCTCCACCGGACAACGGCATGTGGGGCACAGGGATGAGCGTTCCATCCAGCCAGAATAGCAGGCTGCACAGAATGTGTGCATACAAGGCTGCAAACTGGAGGGATGAGAAAGATACTTCTCCAGACACAACCTAGAACTTGCCCAAGATCCTGGCACCAGATCTGCATCAGACCCTCCACTAGAAGGGCAAGCTGGACTCCAGTCATGGCCAACCATGGGTTTCTGTACTACCCAACCTGAAACACTTCGGCTCAGTCTTGGCTAACAAACGGCTAGAGCTCACAAGGCCACAGGCCTTAAAAGTGACTCAGGAGAGCAAAGACTTCCGGAACACAAGCAACAGAGAAAATAAGTGTTTCAGGCTAAAACCTAGGTAGGTTCCATCTCATACAAAAGCAAGGAGAAAGGTTTTCTGAAGCTACATTTGGGACATTTATGCTATGACAAATACTATGTTTCTATAACCAGTGAATATTTAAGATGTAGTACAGTTTGATCTATCTGTAAGGCAGAGGTTAGGTTTGCTGAGTTACCCATGACTTATGTCAGTCAAAATCATGCTGACTACAGCCCTGAGTTTAGACCCCTGGTCTCAAGATTCTACCACAGGAGTGAAATTAAAATGGCAACCTCCACAGTCCCAGGCCAATGAGGACCATAACTGCCTTCACCCACCCCTCCTCCCCACAGCTTAAGGGTCACATAGAGTCAGGCCTCTCCAGGAGGCAGAGTGAGGTGGAGGGTGGTATACCTCACACAGTCGTGCAGCAGGTCCTGGCAGATGATGCATGTGAGTGTCTCCGCCATTTTGTCTGTCTTCACAGTGGCAGCTCTGCTGTCGTCATGGGTGGCCTGGGCATTTCTATATTGGTCTGTGACCACCAATGGCAGGCTCAAATTTAGCTCCTCATCTGCAGGAGAAAGGGATGAATTCTAATTGCCACAGCCAGAAAGGACATCAGCGTGCACCCTTTCTGCTTAATGAACATCTTGGCCTAAGGACTGTCTGTAGTAGAAGTGGCAGACACACAGCCCTTGGCATGGGTCTGCATTTATATGGGCTATTTTTAAGGAAGCCCCAAGTAGGTTTTATGTTATATCTAAGTTCTGTTTTAGAACAGTGACTTACCAAACTGGGCACAGTGGCACACACCTATACTCCCAACTACTTGCATGATTAAGCAGAAGGATTTTTGTTTGTTTGAAGTTGGTGTGTACCCTGTGGTGGTCTCAAACTTTAGATCTCCTGCCTCAGCCTCCCAAGTGCTGAGGTGATAACAGTGCATCAACATGCCTGGGCAGAAGGATCACAAAGTCCACTTGTTAGTGTTTGTGTAAATGTCATTTTAATTTAAACAAACACAAACATCCATGGCCCATGAGCATAAAGAAATTTGATGGAGACCAGAGACTCTAATATAGTACCAGAAGCTTTTTCTCTTGGTTTTTTTAAACAATATTTTACTATGTACCCTAGGCAGGCCTCAAACTTGAGTAATCCTCCTGCCTCAGCCTCCCAAGTACTGGGATTACAGGCATGTGCCACCAGAAACTTGAAATATTCTTTACCTTGTTTTTATGCAATATTGGGGATTGAACCTAGGCCTTTATATAAGCTACAACCCCAGCCCTTTTGAGACAAGGTCTTCCTAAATTGTTAAATTATCTATGCTTGGCTCAACCATGTTCCTCCTGGGCCTCAGTCTCCCAGAGTGCCGAGATTACAGGTGTGTGCCAACATGCCTGGCTTCATGGTGTGTTTTTATTTTCTACATACACAAGTGTATGTCATGAAAGATCAAGTTTATTTATATATATATATTTTTTTGTGGGCAGTCCTGGGAAGTAAACCCAGGGCCTATTTTGCTGCTAAGCTCCAAACCAATCCAATTTTTAATTAAATACTGAGTTGGGTACAGTAGTGCACACATGTAATACCAGCACTCTGAGAACTAAAGCATATCACAAATTTGAGGCCACCCTGGGCAATTAGTGACTACAGAGACCCTGATGCTATAAAGAAAATTTAAAAAGGCTAGGAATATAGCTCAGTGCAACGGTCCGTGGTTCAAAGCTCAGTATTGAAGAGAAAAATACTTGTACACAATTTAAAAAGTCATATATAAAGTATGCTTGAAATATATAGCGCATGTTTACAGAATTTATTACTAAAAGACACACTGCCATTATTTCCCCTGGAAGTACTCCCCTTTCCTTTGAACTCTTTTGTCATTTGCGCCACTTTCTGAAACAGTTCTGCAAGTCCTCTTTCCTGAGTATCTTTATCAGGTATGACAAAAGTATGGTGAATGCTACTGTTGAATGCCATCCTACAGAAAAGCAGCCTCATAAAAACTTAGTAATATGTCCTCATTCTCCTTAGTGTCTGTCCCTTTCCCAAATCAAAATGACCACAAAAGAGTAAATATTCTGAATTGATTCAGGACATCGAGACAGCCACAATATGCAACTAAAGATACTCAGGAAATAGGTCTTGCAGAACTGCTTCAAAAGTGGCAAGAACAATGGTTAAGTGTGTTTGAAGCAAAGGGGAGTATTTTGAGGGTGATAACTGGCAACAAGCCTATTGTAGCAATTTATGAAATGTAAACATTTACTATATCTTTAGATCACACCTCATAGCAAACAGATACAGCCATTCTCTACCCAGTCTTTCCTCACCGAGATTTTCTTCTTCTGAGGAATTTACTTTGGTATGTTTTCACTACTGCTTCTGATATTTGTCTCCATATGTTTGAGTTATACTATTATACTTGATTTAGCAGCTGATTTTATCTTTCTACAATGCTGAGGATCAAATCCAAGGCCTTGCACAAGAAAAGAAAGAGATCTACCGGCTGGGGATTTAGCTCAGAGGCATAAGTACCTTCCTTGCAAGTGTGCAGTCGTCAGTTCAATCCCTGGTACCGATAAAAACGAAAAAAGACAAAAAAAAAAAAGAAAAGAAAGAGATCTACCTCTGAGCTATGACCTCAATGCTGGTTATAATTTTAGACATCACATCTTATCCTCTATTAAGGTAGTAAAGGATTTTGACCTGAGGCCCCCTTCACAATACTGCTTTTTTTTGGGCGGGGGTCTTTTTCATTTTTATTGGTACCAGGGATCGAACTCACGACTGCCTGCTTGCAAGGCAGGAGCTTATGCCGCTGCCCCAGCCCCCACAATACTGTTTAACACAACACTTGGCTGATTATAATGCATGACATCATTAAGCTCACATTACATATTCACTGGTAAGCCAAGCGGTACACTAAAGTTAAGTTTTATGCCTTTTACAAATTTTCATTTTTGCTATAGGTAAAGTTGCTTCATTTTACAGCTGCTTATTTTTTCCTGTATAACCGTTGCAGATTCTCTCCACAACCTCCGCCAGCAGATCCGCTATTTCCCACCAGTGTTCAAAGACTCCAGCTTCTTCAACCCTTCCTCTTGTACTGCTCATGGTCAGTGGTGTCTGGGCCTGCTGCATAATGATCACTGCACCACCACATTCCCAAGTAATTTTAATAAACTTTTAAACTCTGGCTTTTATAGACTTTGTTTTCTCTAAATCACCTTTAATGTGAAGGCTCAAATTATCATTTATTTTTGAAACAGGTTCTTTGTAGTCCAGACTGGCCTCGAACTCAAGGTAATCTCCCTCTTGCAGCCTATTGAGTGCTGGGATTATAGGTGTAAATCACCATATCAGGCTTAAGCACGTTTTTAGAGATTATTGTCATATTGGACCTGGGGATTTAGCTCAGTGGCACAAGCGCTTGCCTGGCAAGCGCAAGGTTGTGAGTTCCATCCCTGGTACCAAAAAAAAAAAAAAGAAGAGATTACTGTCATATCATGACACAGGACTCGGATATCAAGTCTGCAATTCATAGTATAGCCTGGTAGTGAACACAATTTCATCTAGATTATGCAAACCAGAAAGAAAATGCCCAAATTTTCATTCAGAAAACATCAAATGTTTTGATGTCAGTCTGAGACAGAGCACTGAGGTGGAGTCCATGAATTTCTGCAAAGTGTGGCCCATCCAGGGCAACAGCCACCATGGCACAGAGCACTAGCATTCAGTGACCTGAGGGGCTCCTGAGGAGCTCACAAGAGGACAAAGGATGCACAGATCTGGAAGCTCTGACCTTCTTTCATCTTCTTCTTAATGGGCTCCAAATCCTCCTGGTCTTGGGACCCTAACAAAGGAAAAGGTGCTCCTTCTCTGTCTGGGAGAGCTGAAATGAGGCTGGAGAGTTCATCATTTGCCACAAATGGATCACATCCTTCTGGGGAGGTGCCTGCACCTCCAGACCCTATGAAAGATCAAATAAGACAGGTTCTAGTTCATCTGCATCAGGTCAAAACGTGTTGAGAAAGTGTCACTGATTCAACCCAATGTATAGTGTACAATCCAAAATGTCAGTTTTTATTGTTTCATTTTGTTGTAGTACTGGGGATTGAAACCAAGGCCTTCACCCTGAGCTGCAACCCAGCTTTTTTTATTTCGAGATAGGGTTTCACTAAGTCACCTTTGCTGGACTCAAACTTGCTATATGCTTCAGGCTCCAAGAGTACTGGGATTATGGGTACTGGCAACCATACCTGGAAAGATGTCATAACTTAAAAACCATACATGGCTTACCAGAAATACTGTACACACAAGTTTTATGTCTTAAACGTACCAGGGCCTATCGCTGTGCAAGTGGAACCAGGGCAAGTGGCATATTGTAAGAAAAGACACATAGAAGTCTTTGATATGATCAGTCCTGAACACCAGGGCTACCATACACAAACCTGTATGCCAGCAAGCACAATGCACATTACCTGGCAAGCAGCCCCAAAGGAAGTGCAAAGCAGGGCCTCTTCAGATAGGAGTGGGGGGTGGGGGAGTGTAACAAAGGGAATGAGTGGAGCCCACAAAGGTAAGCAGTTGTGACCCACTTCAGCAAGACATCAGAGTCCCAAATGATGGGAATGAGTTTGGCAGAGATGTTGGCAAACTTCCCAGTAACCTTTATTCAAAGACCTAGTTCATCAATTATTTCTAAGATGACAATATGTAATCCATTAACTAGTGATTTCCTACTGTTCATTTTTTTTCTGTAAATCTGTATAACTTGTACCCTTTCCCTGCTTTTTTTTTTCTTTTCTCCTTAAATAAAATTAAAAAAAAAAAAAAAAACAAAGACCTAGTTCATGATGTTATAGTACAATGCACATCTAGTTAGTAATATTCAAATGGTAAATGGTATTATTATCATTGTTACTATAACTTTGAGACAGAGTCTCATTATGTAGTTCAGGCTGGACTTGAACTATATAGTCCAGACTGGCCTCAAACTTAAGAGGATATTCCTACCTCAGTCTCCCCAGTGCTGGGATTACAGGCATATAGCACCACAGCCAGTACAAATGATATTATTTGAAGAAAAAAAAAACTGGCCTATGCTCTCTGGGGAAAATAAATAAAACAGTATCACTATGGGAACAAACTAGCTCACATACTGAAGGAAGAAAAGGAGCGTCAGCTTCCTAGGCTAGTGTTTGGTTCCAGTACTCACTTCACTACGACCTTTCCAAGCCTTGTAATGAGCCAAGTGTGAGGACACATGCCTGCAATCTCAGCACTGTGGTAGGCTGAGGCAGGATGTAAGTTCACCCCAGTCTTAGAAGCCTAGTAACTTAGTAACCCTATCTCAAAATAAAAAATAAAAAGGGGCTAGTATGTAGCTTGGTGTAAAGGAATTCAACCCCTCCACACCAAAAAAAAAACAAAAACAAAAACAAAAAAAGCACCTTCTAAATTTACCTGGGCTTATCTCCAGAACAAAAATTATAGTGATGGCACCTGACAGTCACCATGTGAAGGATTAATCTCTAACTTATAAAAAAACCAATAAAAACCAATTATTCCTAGGTAGAAGTAGCTATCTATAGTTTTGCCAACTCTTGCTGTCTTTGCCAAAGGAGACATCTATGCCAATGATATTTCTGTAACAGCATATTATACTGTTTGCAGATCTCTAAGGAGGGGTGGGACAGACAGGGGCACTTTCCATAGCTAAAGAACTGATACTTGTACAACTGTGGGCCTCATCTATCTTATGTAAAGCTATTATGTTTCTGAATCTTAATGCGTCTATATTTGTGTCCTCCACCACTTCCTTCTCAGTTGACACAGATAAGCCTGCCAGATTGTCATAAAGGATCACACTTCAATAAAAGAATCTAAAGACAAAAAAAAAAGCAATTATCACACTGTCTTACATCTGGTAAGTACTTAATATTAGCTACTATATAGTTATTTTGTTAGCATGCAATTACACATATAAATAGGAAAATTTAGTTTTTTAAAATACAATTTATAAATGTATTATTTTTTATTAAACTACAATGTTATTAAAAAGGTAATAAAAGGGAAGTGAACTGAAATGTACTTCTGCATCTCTGGGGATGTCATCATGTGGGTGAGCACAGATGCTAGATCCAGCTGAGAGCCAGATGTTTCCCTACTGGGCCCCATCTGGGTTTTAAGGAACCTGAATAGTACTGAAGAGCACACCTGCCTAGAGAACTTAAAAGAATGTAACCATCCTGCCTGGCAAGTATAAGGTCAGGACTTCACTCCTCAGCACAAAAAAAACAAAAGAAAAAAAAAACCAAAAGGAAAGAATGCAACCATCCAGCTAGTCACTCCTATCTGGCATGTTTTCACCTTAAAATGACTGCATTTTCTTTTGCTTGTGAATCTGAGGTATTGATGTTGACTTTGAGAGGCTATAGCTAGAGTATACACTGTTGGTGTGGTCTAAAGTTGAGGCACCCACTGTCTCAGCTGTTTGTGCGGCTAAGCATTCTCACTGTCAGTCTAAGAAGCCCTCCCACGTGTGTTCTGAAAGTCACAGCCTCCCCATGTCAGTTATGTCCACCATGTCTAGAATCCACCTAAAGCCCCATGTGATCATTTGGACAGTGACAGGATTGTGGAGGACAGCTGACATGGTGTTAGGAGGTAGGGTCTGGTTGAGAAAGGCTAGTCATTAGAAGGATTCATCGCTCTCCCTAGTTTTCCATTCTCTGATTCCTTGCTACCATGCCTGAGCAGCTCTCCTCAGCTCTCATCCACCATACATGTCTGCCACGCTGTCTTAGCTTGCAGCCAGCTGACTATGCACTGAAACATCAGCCAAAAATAAAACTTTCCTTCTCTAAATTGTGGATGTTAGGTACTGTGTCTCAGTGATGAGGAAAGTGGCTTCAGAAAATGTCACTCTTCAGATGGCTGGGATGCTGCCATACAGGAAAGAGTGAAACGTGCGGCTGAGTGAAACATCTTGCTGCTGTAGAGTCTGCCTTATCCAAGGACCTATGAGTGAGAAGGGAGCTGCTGGAGACCTCAGGGAGGACAACAGGTAGTGTGAGGCTGTCTGTGTGAGGGCTGACAGTATTAGGAAGCAAAACAGTTAAATTAACAAAAATGGAAATTAGGGGCTGGGGATTTAGCTCAGCGGCATAAGCACCTGCCTTGCAAGCAAGCAGTCGTGAGTTCAATCCCCAGGACCAATAAAAAAAAAAAGGAAGTAAGTTCAGATAGCCCAGGAAAAGATTTCCAATTTTAGGATGCCATATTGACTTTCTGCATTTCCTGATTCTGCTTCTACAAATCCCAAGAGAAAGCTTTAGGAATGAAAAAAGGCAGGGAGCTGGGGTATGGCTCAGCAATAGCACAGCAGCTCGTGTGGCCCTGCGTCAATCCCAAGCACCACCAGAAGGAGCACCTGATAGGAGAGCAGCTAGCCACCTGGTGAGACTGAAAGAGCTGTCCTCCAGAAGAGGGTTCTCCTGCTGTTGCTGCCAATCAGGGGAGAGAATCATTAGGAACAGCGATCCTTTTTGCTCAGGCTCCCTGCTTCCTTCATTCCATAATGAATATGATGTGATGCCATCTAAATCTCAAGATACCTTGACACCCATAAGACAAAGGGAGCTTGAGTGGACGGATGTGCAGGCCCTGGAGGCACCATGATCTGTTGGACTGGCTTTGGGCTGTGTTTCTTGACTTTCTGTTATGGGACAGGTTTTCTGTCATACCTAACTGACACATCCTAACTGACATGTAAGGGGAAACCTATAGACTGCTATGCATGTGAGATGAGAAAACCAAGCATTCGAGGAACCAATAAGAATATGCCCAAAATGAGGTACCGAAATTATAAAACTTCACTGAAGATGATCGAGATTAACTAGGAGAACAAAACTAAACAAAAAACAAGGAAAAACACCATTTTCCCCAAATCAACATCTCAAAAGACAAACAAGCAAAAAACCCCTGAAAACATTACGTTGAGTGAAAGAAGCCAGTCAGAAAAACCACACAGCTTAGAATTTTGTGTGAATGGAATGTCCAGAACTGGCAAATCCATAAACACGTATTTCCACTTGGGTGACAGAAATGTTCTGCAATCAGTGGTGATGGTCATACAACCCTGTGAATATACTGAGAACCTCTGATGTATATACACTTTAAATTCATATTTATGGTACATGAATTACATTTCAAAAACTAAAACATACCATGGAACCACACTTAAGCCTCAACAGTTCTGCTTGTGGAACAAACCAATACTTGCCACCAGAACTCTTACTAATGAGAACTTTCTGCAGTGGTTTTTCTGCCTCTGTGACAATACAGCTAAGGATCAGTGAACCAGAAACTGAGACTGTGACCTCCCTCTCACCTGAGCTGGAGGAATGATCTTGCCCTGCACAGGATGGCTCTGTGGAAGAGGCAGAGGCCATGGGAAAGAGGTCTGACGTCGATGTAGATGGCTGTGGTTCCTCCAAGCATGCCTGGGTGGCAGGCAATGGTGGTGGGACCTGGGGGTTGTCATCCCACCCTGGACCTGAGGGACCTTTGGTCACATGGAACATATTTTCTTTATTGGCTTCTGGAAGCACAAAAGAGCAGAAAAAGCACATACTCAGGGCTCAGAACACAGCAGGGGCTGAAGGGTGTTCACGAGGTCAACAGCCTTCAAACACACCTGTGGCTTGGCCAGAGCTCACTTACCAAAGGATTCCTGGGTCATGCCTTGCTTTGCATTTAAAGATTCGTAGAGGTACGCCACATCTAAAAGGAAATAAATTAGAGTGGTGATCATGTGGGAAGTGAGATCATCTCTCTTCTCTTGCCTCTGGTTACATCACAGACTACCCGTCTGTCAAATATCCTTACTTAGCAGTAACATCATCAGTTTGTGAGGTCCCAACACAGGTGAGACACTCTTTGCCAGCTTGCACAGGCAAGCCTCAGAGGAAAACGCCTCAGGAGGGAGGCTAGGGTGAAGAGTCTTGTGCTTGCTTACAACTGCAAGCAACTGAAAGGGACAGATATAAGATCTTGCTGTGTAGCAAAGGGCTGATTTTGTCGAAGAGTATCTATCTCCTTCTTCCTTTTTCCTTACGAAGGAAGAAGACCTTACAGTGACCTCTAAATATTTCAGGGAGACCTCTGAAAGAGCCTCCTAACTGTCCTGTCCTACATCATTCTTGCACAACATAAACACAGACTTCTGAAGCTATTTCCAGGCTTGTCTCTGCTGTCTGTTGTTGTCTCCATAAGCAGAACCTCTAGGCCCCACTACTTAACTACTTACAACTTCAGTTCTTCTACTGTACCTCGAAGTCCATTCCTGTTCCTCCGTTGCTGGCATTTTAAGGGGCACCACTCATAATCACAGTGGTGTTCTTGGAGGAAGGTTCAGATCACAAAGTAACATTCCCACTCTTCAACTGCTTACACCAAGAATCAACATAGACAGTAAAGGGAATGCAAGCCAATATAACTGTTCCAACAGACATTCTGAGAATGTTTCCTGGTCTCAGTTGGGCTCCCCTCACCACCATACCCAGTCATGTGCCTGACCCCAGGTGGATTTCCCCTTACTGTGTTCCGGCTCATTCTTCCTGTACACCAGGTAGATGACATCCCCAGTCTGTAAAGGGCAAGTCTGCTTTTTAACAACCTTCAACTTGTTGATTACTGTTCCATTGGTGCTGAAAAGAAAACATAGGTATAATTTTCCCTACTCAAAATAACTTGGGGTTACATTTTTTTCTGTCACCATCAGGAAATTGGCATATCACCATTTTGAAAATACTCACAAGAATAGTAATGCACACATGCAGGTAAAATTTACAATTCACTTTCTCATAAACTAGGAACTGCATGTTAATGAGTATTTTAACATTTCTGCTGCTCTTATGCCAGGTTCCCTTCCAGGTACCTCCTGGTGGATCCTGAGGCCTTGTCAGCTGCACCATGCTTCATTACTAGGCCCTCCTGAGCTTTGTTTAGCCTGCCCACAGGTCTGTCTCCTTCTGATGACAGCCAGAACCTTGGTTAGCTCATTGCTCAGGATAAGCACTAATTCCTCCTAAGAGACAGAGTTTACACTACCAACTGATGATGATAATAGTCCCTGTGCTCAGAACATGTGGTTTGCCTAGATGGAACATGCTAAGGCACATGTCCCAGAAGCAGGCTGTGAGGGGGGACACTAAGCCAGACACACAGGAAGTGTTTCTCTGGGAGAGATTTCTGAGAGACTTGATGGAAAATCAGGAGTTGGCTACAAGATAGGCTAACTGAACACATGAAACTCAGCACTGGAACCACCATGCATCTTAGCTTCTCTTGGAAGGTCCACTGGTAGAGGGACTCTAGAAGAGCAGACTTCTACCACAGCTCACTAAGGTCAGGGAATGACAGGACTTTCTGTAAAGGACCAGAAAGTAAATGGTAAGTCTCTGTCCAACTACCCCACTCTGCCTATGAAGGAGCTAGGGAGGGAATGTAAACAAAGAGGAATGGCCACATTCTCCCAATCTTCTATCCCTGAAATCATTCTTATTGTGGGGCCTGATCTCTAAAATAATACGAAGACTTACTCATTGGCAAAGACATTCCTCACTGTGCTGCTGAAGGCCCCTGACACTTTCATGGGATTTAAAACATGCACATTCAGTGGTGCAGAATGGAACACACCTGTAATCCCAGCCACTTAGTAGGATGAGGCAGGAGGATGGCAAGCTCAAGGCCAATCTGGACAACTTATCAAAAATAAAATAAAAAGGGCTAGGATGCAGTTCAGTGGTACAGCACTTGCCCATCATGTGCAAGGCTCTGTGTTCAGTCTTCAAATGAAATAAAACAAAAAACTGATACATTTCAATGACACATTCCCTTCAAGAGCATAATCAGACATACCTACAGAGTCTGTAAGACAACCCCTACAATGTAGTTTGTATTAAGAGTCAAAATAATAAATGTCCACCAATGAAGGAAATGACAGACCAAACTATCATGAATAATAATGCAGGAGATGACTGGAATCTAGTTGCACAGACAGCTAAGCCACCAGTAGAAATGCAGAGTAAGGGACACATAACTTCACTCAGGCAATAATAGCCTCAAATATGCATTTTTAATGTGAGCCGAGTTTTGGAAAGCTTTCCATGTTTTAAGATAGAAATAAGGTTATATAAGGAAAAAAATGAGAATAAACCTTTTGTAAATGGAGAGGGAGTAGAGGCTGAAGGGAGGATAGGGGAATGGTGAAAAAAAAGCCAAGTTATATCATGTATAGGCACAAATTCTCTGTGATGAATGTGATCATTATGTATATCTAAAATGTACCAATAGGAGCTGGGGGTTTAGTTCAGCAGCATAAGTGCCTGCTTGGCAAAGGCAAGGTCGTGAGTTCAATCCCTGGCACCAAAAAAATAAATAAAATAAAATGTATCAATAAAATCTGACTGGAGGGGAAAAAAAAGAATTTATTAGCCACGCTGGGCATGGTGGTATGTGCCCATAATCCCAGTCCTTGGGAGACTAAAGCAGGAGGGTTCCTGAGAACATAAGGCCTGCCAGTGTTACACAATAAATTCAAAGACAGTCTGAACTACCTAGCAAGACCCTGTCCCCCGCAAAAAAACAAAACAAAACAAAAAGAATTAGCCAGGCACAATGGCCTGTACCTATCATTTTGGCAATGAGGAAGCCTAAGGAAGGAAGATTTAAAGTTCAAATCTCACCTCAGCTGCTTAGTGAGAGCCTATTTCAAAATTAAAAATTAAAAAGGGGGTGGGGATGTAGCTCAGTGCAAAGGCCCTCAGTTCAAATCCCAGTACCACAAAGACAAGACTAATTTCAAAAAAAAAAAAAAAACAAGGGGCTGGGGATTTAGCTCAGCGGCATAAGTGCCTGCCTTGCAAGCAGGCAGTCGTGAGTTCGATCCCTGGTACCGGTAAAAACGAAAAAGACAAAAAACAAAACAAAACCAAGATATTTTAGTTTGGGAGAAAAGTCAAACTTTAATAGGTTTGTAAAACTAAAAAATTTATGTTTTTGTTTTGTTTTGTGCTATACGAGAATCATCCAGGTCCTCCCACATGCTAGGTAAGCACTATGGCATTGAGCTAAATCCCCACCCCTTTTCAAATCAATTTTTTGAGACATGGTTTTACTAAGTTGCCCAGGCTGGACTTGAACTTGCAATTCTCCTGCCTCAACGTTTTGAGTAGCTGATGTTATACGTATACACCACCATACTTAGCTATCAGTGTCTAAAAATGTCTTATTTCTAGACCAAGTGTGGTGGCACATACCTGTAACTTCAGCACTTGGGAGGCTGAGCCAGGAGGATCATGGTGAATTTGGGCTATATAGTGAGTCCAAGACCAGGGAGAACTACATAGTCAGATCCTGTCTTTAAAATTAAAAAGTTTTATTTCTGAGCCATACCTTGAGTTTTTTTATTTTTGTAGTACTGGAGATTGCATTTTTTAAAAAAAATTTCTGTGATACTGGGCCTCAGACATATTAGGTATGCAATCTACTCCTGAACTAAGATCTCATTTTCAATTTCATTTCATTTTGAGATAGGCACAGTCTCATTAAATTGCCCAAGGTTGGCCTTGAATCTAAAATCTATCTGTTTCAGCCTCCTGAGTACCTGGGATTATAGATGTGTCCTACCAGCTCAGCTTCTGAACCATACGTGATTTAATCTGAATTATTCCATTTTAGAAACCAGAAAATATAATAGGATATGTTGAGAAACTATCAACATATTCAGAGAAAGCAAGCTACTGTTATTTCTCCGAAACACAAAGCTATCATCTTCCTAAACCACCAGAGGAAACAGGAAGAAGTTTGGAAAGTACTCACCTGGTATCTTCCAGTGTCACCTGACCGGACTTTTCATCCACTACAATTTTACAGTGATCTCCAGAGACCAGTTTATTGCTGGGGAACGAAAGGTCACAACCTAAAACAAAGGACAGAAAGACGCTGAAAATTGAGGTTCTGGGAATTCTACTGCCTTTGCTTTACCAAAGCATGTGCCAAAGTGCTCACACAGGAAACATTTAAGTAACTAAGCATTTAATCCAAAGTACAAGACGAGGGCACTGTGTCTTGAGCCTTCTTGAACTCCATTACCCAGTAGATGACCCACCAAGACCACAACAGCTTCTTTAGGACAATTTGGTTGCTTTTTAAGACGAAGTCTCACCATGTAATCCAGGCTGGCCTGAAATGTGAAATCTTCCTGCCTTATTCTCCCAAGTGCTGGGTCTACAGAACAGTTTTTATTTTTCCCCTTTGGGTAGTACTGGGAATTGAGCCCACCATCTTCACATTGAGCTAGGCTATTTTTTAAATTTTTAACTTTGAGACAAAGTCTCGCCAAGTCACTAAATTGCCCAACCTAGGCTCAAACTTCTAATCCTCCAGCTTCAGTCTCCCAGAATGCTGGGGTTACAGGCATGCATCTCTGTGCTTGACTCTCCAGTGCAATTTTACGACATGCATACATGCACAGCTAGTCTGATAAATACTGGAATTTAAAATAAAACTAAGGGGCTTAACTACTTAATCCTTAACATTTTCCTCTGTGTAACCTAAGGTTTCAAAAATCATTATAAAATCGAAGCAATGACACAGTCACAGAAAATCTGAGCAAAATTATCATGTGCACATGTACAAGAAAATACAGAACAGAAAAGCATCTAGAGCAACACATAGCCGAATCTTCACTAAATACAAGGGGAGAATTCTCAAATATATAATTGCTTCTTCTTTAAAGCAAAAGTACAAACACTTTTAGAAAACTATATGTAATTACCAATTACTATTGCTTGTAATACTAATCTACAGTTCTACATAATACTATAAGAATTAAATGCAATTTAAAACTGAAGAATTTGGGGGCTGGGGATTTAGCTCAGCAGCATAAGCGCCTACCTTGCAGGCAGGCAGTCGTGAGTTCGATCCCTGGTACCAATAAAAACAAAAAAGACCCCCCCCCAAAAAAAAAAAAAAAACTGAAGTATTTAGCACTCAGGAGGCTGAGAAACATCACCAAGAATTCAAAGTCAGTCTGGGATATATAGTGAGTTCAAGGCCAGCCTGAATTACATAGCAAGACTCTGTCTCAAAAAAAAAAGGAGGGGGTTATAGCTCAGCAGTTGAGCACCCCTGGGTTCCATCTACACTATGGTCTGCCAGCCAACCAAGTAAAACTGAAGAATTTGTCAAGGAGAAAGTGATCGGTCAAATTTATATTCTACATTGTTCTGTTCTGACCTGTGTTGTTATGCTGCTATGTCCTCTTTTATCTTAATCTCCTTTTTTTAATCTTAAAACGTTCTATGTGGAACCTGGTTTGGCCTGATTTTTTTTTTTTTTTTTTTTTTTGGTGGTGGCAGTACTGTGGATTAAACTCAGAGGCACCACTGAGCTATACCCACAGTACTGGCTTAAGCCTTGCTCCATCACTAAGTGTCTGTGTACAGAAGAATCAGTATTGTTTTGGGTCTCTTCTTGTTGGCTACAGTTTTAGTGGCAGGTCAGGGGAAGAGCCAGGGGCAATGTTCCTCTCTACCCCTGGACCCAGGGGAACCTATTTATTTTTGAGACAGGGTCTCGCTATGCAGTTCAAGCTGGTCTTGAACTCAGTGATCCTCCTACCTCTTCCTCATGAGTCCTGGAATTACAGGGGTATGCCATCATGGTGGCAGAATTCCTTTAAGGGAGTAGAGGAGTCCAGTAGCCTACTGAATCAGAGGACCCTGCAGTGGGTAAGGTGTAGTGAGTATCCTAGCTCACAAGCAGGTTCTGGTAGGTAGCAATTTTATTACTCCAGCCACTACTTGATGTCTGTGAACTGCTAGCCTGATGTCTATAGCAACTGGTTCTGCTGCTTGATGTCAGCACACTCGTCACCAGACTGAGTTTTCCTGCTGCTGATAAGTATCTGGTCATGTACCACATAGGCTCCAAGGTGGTGCTCCATTTCTGCCAACATGCCTTCTGGGACAGTTTTAGCACTGAGCTGTAACTGTGGCATCATTTCAAGACCCTGGAAGGTACAACACAGCTTAGTGATCCCAGACTTACTACTTATCTGGAGCTGTTCAATGTGGCCGGAAATCACTTGGTTCAGCTCCTCAATCTAGCTAGGAAATCAGCTTGGCATCCCTCCCATTCTAGTTATGACCTCATATTGGCTTCATGCAATCTTGGTGAGATTGAAGCCAGGAACAGATTCTACTTCCACACTGACATGGCCACCCAACTAGCGTTCAGGATTTCTATTTGTGGCTCTTCTTCTCTGGCAAAAAGAAAATTCCTCCTTCAGGCCTTTGATTTCCATCTTTGGGTTGATTCTAGCTGGAGTAGCTGGTCAAGCATTTTGGGCAGGCCACTGATGTCACCTTCCATGCTCGGAGACAGGGCTTGCTTCTTTCATCTTGAAGCTGATTCAGAAGTTATCTACAGCTAGATTGGTTTTGTTGTCAATGTACAGGATAATCCTGGAGTTCTCCCATAGTAGCACCAAAAATCTTGTTCCCCAGGTCTTGGACTTTTGCCTGTAGTCTACTACTAGTCTACTTCCGGGCACACACTAAAGCCAGGTGGTTGCTGAGCTTCTGCATGGTGTTATTCTGACAGCCCATCAGTAACTCAGTGGACTCGGCCAAAGCACCTGCATAGCACTCATCCACAGGAAGAAGAGGACACAAAATGTGTGGAGGACATGGACATATCACCACTTCTCATAACTTCCCAAAGATGCTGGATTCACAGAAGGGGCTGCCTGGCCCAGCACACATGAAGCCACCACGTAAGCACCCAAGTATGAAGCAGACAGCATTTGGCAATAGTCAAAAAAAGTCATGGCAAAATTCATTCAAGCAATACTAGTCTCAGGAGAAGCTGCTGATAGCAGAAGTCAGAAGAATTAATCCTGTTAAGTCAGTAATTTTTGTCTTAGACTGCTTCAAGGAGTAAACGCAGTTCCAATCAAAGCCTCAGCAGGCTTAAAGACACCAACAAGCTAACCCTAAACTTCACAAGGAAAATTCTGGAATATTTAAAGAAATTTTGAAAAAGATCAAAGTTAAAGGCTAATTACTCTGTTAACTTATAGTCAAATGACAATGATCAACAATGTTGTATTGATGCAAGAAGGACCAGTCATATAGAGAAAAGCAAAAATTAAAATTATGAAACTTTCAGTGACAAACTAGAGAAAATCTTAATGATGCAGGGTCTGGCAAGGACTTCTTGGATAGAATACAAAAATAACAGAAAAAAAAATCTAACATTCAACAAAACTAAGTATAGAGCTTTTGCCTTGCATGCACAAGGCCCTAACTGCATTGTAAGGTACATTGTAAGGTGTAAAACTAACAATTACAAAAACCTGTTTCTAGCTGGGCATGGTGGCACACACCAACAATACCAGCACTTATGGGTTGAGGCAGGAGGCCTGAGAGTTTGAAACCAGTGTGAGCTACGCAAGTCTGAGGCCTTTCTAGCCTGCCCACGAGATGGTATCTCAAAAAAAAAAAAGTGTTTAATTTCTACCCAACTGTAAATATTCCAATATTCGTTGTTACTGATCCTTAATTTCACTCCACTGCAGTCAGAGAAAAATTTCTGTATTGTAACAAAAATTCCGTTCTGGAGGATGTATGACAACTGGACGTTGTGGAGCACAACTCCATAAAGTTGTAGGGATCTACACCGAGTGCTCAAGAGTCAGCGGCACGTGTCACATGACAGCCCACTTCCTGGAAAAAACTGGAAAGCGCTGTGCACCTCGCACCCCGCCCGGTGGGCTCCGCCCGCTCCCCATAGGTCCCGCCAGCACTTCGGGTGCCCTCCACTCCTCCTCAGTGTCTATTCCCATCCCGCTGGATCTTCGACCCTGCCCTCGGTCTCCTTCTGCGACTCCCGCTCCCATCCTTAGTGTCCAACCCCTGCCCGCTGCCCCGCACCTCTCCGCCGCCCGAGGGTCCATTCGCGCTTCCGCAAAAGGACGTGCGGCTCGCTCTGCTCAGCGCCTAAGCGGAGAAGCCGGCCCCAGGGCTGCGGAAGCAGCGGCTGCTCGTCTTCGCCGGGCGGTTCCATCGAATTCACATCTACGAGACCCGGAAACGCAGCTTAGGAGGAGGCGCCGCCCCGCCCCAAGCAAGGAAAAGCTTAGGCGGCCGCCGCCGCGCTTCGCCCCTACGCCACTTGTCCCTTGTCCCACAGCTTCGGCCCGCCGTCTGCCACCAGCCCAGCCGCTCACCCCACGCTCCGCGTCAACCCCGGAACCGGCAGCACGACCGCTGCTGCTGTCAACAGACCTCGCCGTCCCTCAGCTGATCTGCGGGCGGAGCCATGCAGCGCGCTCTACTATTGGCTGGCAGCGGCGCCCACCGAGAGCTGCGCCTAGAGCGGCAGCGGGCTGTGGGTAAATTCGCCATGTTTGAAGCTGGCCGGGACGACTTCATAGCCACTCGATTACGGAAGTAGTTGCTTTCGACGCCATGTTGCGTAACGGCAAAAGAGACTGGGTAACTTCTAGGATGGACGTCCGAACAAGTTCTTAATACTTTCCACTATAAAGTAAGGTGTCATTTAGATAGAGAAGCAACTGTACACTTTACAAGAAAAATATGAATAGGAGGTACGTACATATTTTACACGTACATTTTTACATGTGGATTTACAAAGATGGGGCAATGTGAGCGCACTGGGCGAGCTCTCCAAGATGAGAGCATCTTCGGTGTCCTCGCCATGTAAACCTGGATCGCTCTTGGAGGCCAGGTTCCCCGCATCTTTCCATTGTACGTGCATGTTACCTTTCAGCCGTCCCCCACCCTACTCCCGGGCAAAAAATTAGCAGGACGAGAAACTAGACAGTAAGGTTCGTCCGTGCCGAGAAATTTTAGGCAGCTCGGAGAACAAGGCAATGTCAACACTGTTGGAGCTCTCAAAAACTGAAGGGCGGCAAATGTGGAGCAAGCATCCAAGTTGATTAAAAAGGATGTATGTATATATAAACACACTTGGAATACTGGTGTCATACGAGCCACTCAGCTGCACGTGCAGTGTGTTTGCGGACCAAACCAAAGGAGACTATTTTGGAGAAAAGGAAAAAGGCCTCATTCAAAGCCAGATCCACGAAGATGGAGAAGGCTCATTTGCCTCAAATCACTATCACATGATGTACAGGTGTGGCGCGGTGTTTTATGGCAAGAAACAGCAGAGGGGGAATAAGATGAAGCAACAGGCCCCGGGTCTACCTCATCCTCCGCTCCCCTCTCTTTTCCTCTCCTTACCCTGTGGAAAGGGAACATCAACCACCTCCTGGGGTCTGCCTCCGCATACTTTCCACTTATCTGGACAGAGGAAAGGGTAATAGTTATGTCCCCAGTATGAGTGAATTAGAAGTAGCTTGTCTCCAGAGGAAAATCTGAAACCTTTTTCCTATCTTCTCAAAGCTTCTTCCTGTAAATCTGTGCTGTGCTTCAGCTTTTAATTCACATTATCACTGCAGCAAGTTCCCACAAGTGCCCTGTATCAAAGGGAGTGACAAGACTATCTTTCACAGCTGGGCATCCATTAAAGACAGGGAGGTGCCTTACCAGCTAATTCACTGTGTGATTATTATAGAGTATAGCTCGATGAACCTGGGCATTAGGGCTTAACTATGGTACATACCTAAGCCATATGCTGTAAACCCATGGTGGTGAACTGATGGCACACATGCCCCGGCGGGCTGTTTGTTACAATTATTGAAAGCTCTAAAAGGTTCACCATCACTGCTATAGAATTATTGCTTCTTGGGTAAAACCTATACAGCATTTGCTGTACTGAATATTGTGGCCAAGTGTAATACAGTGGTTTTCTTTTGTGGGGAGCAGGGCCTTCACACTGAGCTACATCTTCAGACTATTTTTGAGACAAGGTCTTACTAAGCATTAGTTAAATTGCCCACACTGAGCTTGAACTCAACAATCCTCCTGCCTCACTGAGATTATAGGAGTGCATCATCTTGCTCAGCTTATTCTTTGAACTAAATGTTTTGTGTTTGTCCCTCCAGTATTTGTTTTGGTTTCATCTTTCCTCGTTTCTTTTCAATCATTTTATCCTTCGGGCTCATTACTACATCTCTGTGTAACATTTTACATTAAAAATTGAGTAAAGGGGAAAATTGGAGCATAATCCTCTAGTTTCTAGTACAAATTGTATTTCAGAATTACCAAATGATACCAGCTGAGGAAGAGTCTTTATAGAAGAATGCCAAATACTAATTGTAGAAGAAATTATAGAACAAGAAAAATAGCCAGTTTTCTTTTCCATGAAACCATTTATACTGACACATAAATATGTTACGTGAAAGGATTGAGGGGAATTAGATATTTAATAAATGCTACATTATCACTCTACAGGTTACTTCCTGACTTTAAGGACAAAACTCCCCAAGTTTATTATGGTGAGACCTGAATTTTTTTTCTTTTCTTTTTTTTTTTTTTTTTTTTTTTGGTACTAGGGATTGAACTCATGACCTCACGCTTGCCAGGAAGGCACTTAGGCTGCTGAGCTAAATCCCCGGTCCAGAGACCTGAATTTTTAACATGACACCTCTGATCTGTCTTAACCCACCCAAACTTTGTTCTAATAGAAATTATGTGTTCATCCATTCAGTCTGATATGAAGTCCATATCATCCTGTAGGGAGTAAAAGAAAAAAGTTTGTATGCCCTGATATCACTGTGAAGAAACATCAGACAAGCTTGAATGAGGGTCACTGCCAAAAGGCAGGGAGTAATGAAGAGTCTTTAGGAACCTCATCAAAAGGCACACATCTGCGAATGTGTAAGTCTGTGGGACTCAACAGACACCACATCATATAGCTGGGCATAGTGGCATATGCCTGTAATCCTAGCACTCAGGAGGCTGAGGCATCAGGATTGCTGCAAGTTTAAGGCCAGCCTGAATTGCATAGTGAAACCCTGTCTCAAAAAGACAAACTGGTTATTATGAGGTCCTGAGTTTGATTCCCAGTACCCTCCCCCCAAAACACACAAAAGGACACAGCAGTACTCAGGATACAGCTCAGCAGCATAAGCACCTGCTTGGCAAGCGCAAGGTCGTGAGTTCAAATTCTGGAACCAAAAAAAAAAAGGACACAACATCTAAGTGCAGTACTCTACCCTAGATTGAGCACAGCACTGGCGGGGACTTAAGGGAAAGCATTACGAACATTAGGGGACTTGGTAGAATTCTGTCACAATTAAGTTCACTGCTAACTACTGGGTTACACACACGTAATTCTCAAGAACCATCATCCATTATACACACACATTCATGGAGACCACAAACACAGCAAATGAGGGTGAATTTTTACCAATGGATAAATCAGGTAAAGAATATTGAGATGTTTTATGTGCTCATTTTCTTTCTTTTTTTCCCCTGATAGGATTGATCCTGGCCATATTCTTATTTTTTTGTTTTGTTTTGTTTTAAGATAGAGTCTTGCTAAGTCACTAAATTGATAAATACCTCAGCTGGTTCTGTATCTTGATTATTGTGAACTGTATTGTTGCTGTGTGTTGCATTGTTTTGTTTTGTCTTTTTGAGCCAGGGTTTCACTCTGCAGCACAGGCTGGCCTTGAACTCACAGTGATCTTCCTGCCTCAGTCTTCCAAGTGCTGGGATTATAGGCTTGCACCACCATGCCTGGCTGCACTGTTCTTTTTTTTTTTTTTGTACCAGGGATTGAACTCATGACCTTGTGTTTGCCAAGCAGGCACTTACACCACTAAGCTAAGTGCCTGCTTGGCACAGTGCTGGCTCCAGCACTGTTCTTAATATATTTCTCAGTTTTTGTTTCTCAAGAGACAGGGTCTCACTTTGTAATTCAAGATGGCCTTGAACTTGCAGTGAGCTTGCTTTCTCAGCCTCCCAGGTGCTTGGATTACAAGTGTTTGCCACTATCCTTGGCTATATTCCTGGACTGAGTTCACTAAAATTTTGGACTTTTTTTCAGTATATAAAGTGACTTTGGTCTCTGTTTTTTCTGAACAATGAATCTATATGATCTACATTTTCAAATAATGCTTAATTCCACAGCATATATACTAAAATTAGAATCATACAGAGATTAGCATTGTCCCTACATGAGGATGACATGCAAATTTGTAAAGCATTCCTATATTTCTCTTTTTTCTTTCTTTTTTTTTTGAGACAAGGGCTTACTATATAGTTCAAGCCAGTCTTAAACTTGCTGTGATCCTCCTGCTTCAGCCTCCTGAGTGCTGGGACTATAGGCATGTGCCACCATGCCCAGCTTATATTTTTATTTTTGAATAAAACAAGAAATGAAAGAAAAAACTCAGGTGAGGTGGTGCACACCTGGCTTGTCATCCAAGCCTGGGAGGCTGAGGCAGGAGGATTGCCACTGGTTCAAGGCCAGCCTGGAGTGTACTCCTGGAGTGTACACACAGCAAGAACCTATCTCAAAAGAAAGAAAGAAAGAAAGAAAGAAAGAAAGAAAGAAAGAAAGAAAGAAAGAAAATAAAAAACAGTGTTATATAAATGCAAAATACATTTTCAAATGTATCAGCCTATAGGTTTCGTTTGCTCTGTGTGTGTGTGTGTGTGTGTGTGTGTGTGTGTGTGTGTGTGTGTGTTATAGTAGAGATTGAACCAAAGGCCTTCACACTGAACTACATCTTTTTTGTTTGTTTGTTTTCATGGTACTGAGGATTGAACTCATGACCTCGTGCTTGCCAGGCAGGCGCTTATGCCTCTGAACTAAATTCCCTCCCATTTTTGGATTTTTTGATGCAGTGTCTTGCTAAATTGCTAGGCTCAGTCTTACAGCATCCAGAGTGCTGATTATAGGCATTAGTCATCACACCTAGGTTCTATTTTGAGCCAGGGTCTTTTCTAAGTAAGTTGCCCAAGTTGGACTTGAACTTGTGACCCTATTTCCTCAGCCCCTCAGAATGCCAGGACTACAGGCATACACTACCACACCTGGATAATAATGGATAGCTTGCATTATTATCTATTAATTTTTCAAAACTTGCTTGATTAGTTTATTGGTGGTTTTTCTCAATCAATTTTTTTTTTTGGTTCTCAATCAGTTTCTGAGAGGTTCTTCATATAGTATGTTCTTCTGCAACAGCAAGCAGAAACAACAAAATGACACCTAGGATTTGGAGGCAGATTTATGTTGACAGGCACTGATCGGGATCATTGCCAGACTATCAGGTCCTGATCTCTGATGGTCTAGGGCTTATGTGGGATAAGCAGGCAGGAAGTACAGAGTCAGAATGGCTTTTCAATTGGGGATTGGTTCTTACAATATGCACCACAGTGTGCAGCTATGCATCACAGTGATCAGCTGTTTCGTTTTGTTTGTTTATTTATTTGTGACAGGGTTTTGTTATGCAGTTCAGGCTGGCCTTCATCCCACTGTGTAGCCCAGGCTGGTTTTGAAATTGCAATGATCCTCCTGCCTCAGCCTCCCAAGTACTGAGATTGAGTGCCACCACATCTGGCTGAGCAGCCATTCCTAAGAAACATAAGTAACAGCAACTATAAGTGGAACTATTGCCAGGGATTTAGGTTAGCAGATAAATGCCTGCCTGGCAAATGCGAGGTCATGAATTCAATCCCTGGCCAAAAAAAAAAAAAAAAAAAAAAAACAGTTAAAATAAAGAAAAAAGTGGAACTATCACCTAAGCAACTAACAAATTGAAGTATACTGTCTAGAGGAACATCTTCTGCTACACTCTAAATAGTGTTAATAACTTTGATCATCTTTAGTATCCATTTGCTTCCTGTACTAATTTCTTCTCCATTCTGTTCATTTAGCTAATTTAAGAACTGTTCTGAAATGTTCCAAAGCTGGATGGGAAGAACACTATGTTCAATCCCAGTGGTTTCAGCCTCTCCTTTGCCACCACCACCCATGATCATTTCCCAGGAACTGGACCCAGCACTGTATAACTGCACCTATTGGGAAGGTGGGGCCCACCTGTTACCGACAGCCCTCCAGCTTTGGTTCAACTCACACTTTGGCCCTTGCTGCTCCTTTTATACTACGTGTATTACAGATTGGGAAACTGGAGCCTAAAGGGCTTAAATAATTCCTAAAAATATACACAGTAGTAAAATGACTAACAATGTTAATTAAGCATAGTTTCCTCTGATCTTTGCAGGTCCTCGATCTTTCTGGTATAATCTATCAATAATGTAAAGATTTTGAGTTACCTGAAAAAACCACTGTTTTGAGCAGGGGAAGTACAGTGTACTAACTGTAAGGCAAAGAGTGGTTTGTTCTTAGGGAGGTGTATTCAGGCTCAAGCCAACTTCTGCCACCTGGAATTGGGACCTTCATGGGTTCTGAGTTCTGAGAGATGAGCAAAGCATCATCTTGGTGAAATGTTTGCATGAATGCTGAGCTAACCTACCATAACCATCCTTGCACCCAAAGAAAGGTACCACTGCACTGACAAACGTCAGAGATGCTGGCTTGATCCTTCTGCTGCAAAACTCTTCCAAGGCAGCAGCATGCAATTTAACCCTGCGCTCCAGCATCAGCCAAAGCAGGAACATGACTGCATCTGTTCATGTGGTAAAGGCATTGTAATAGGAAAGGAACCCCAGGCAGAGTGCTGGTATCGAGATATGGAGTCCAGTTCTGGCATCATCCCTCACTTCCTTGTGGTCTTCAGCAAGAAGCAGCCTGTTAACATATGGATTTGCATCAGTTGGTATCTGGAATTTCCATCCCTGTGACCTTCCCAAGACCTGCTCCACAGACAGGATAGGTGTGGTGACCCTTCTCTGCACTGCCTCATCTCTTTTGTGGAAGTGATGCTTTTGGTGCCTCTAGCTTACTGTTAACACTATACATTTACGCCTCAAAGGTCTGAGGAGTCCTTAAGGTTAGCCATGCTCATTCTGCAGTCTCCAGCCTAGTGAGCTCTATTCAGGGCACAACACTGATCTTTACCTACAGCTGAAGCACAAAGTGCTCCTTATTTGACTTACATGTACATGGATTACAGCACACTGGATATGGATCAGATTTAGTTTGGGATATCTAGTTGGGATGAATGCCAGAATCTGCAAATTCTTTTCAGTGACCACACTCACATATATCCATTCATGAAACAGTTTATTCAGTGAACACGTCAGGACAGAGACTCTCGACTGCACATCTCCGCAGAATGCTCATGTCCAAACAGCCACCTGCCCACCCTTTTATGTGGAGTAGAGCTGGTCCTAGGTCTCAGGTTTCATACTCTGACATGTCTTCCCTTGTGCAAGCACTATTCAGAACCAGACACTATGTACACTTCATTCACACCCTTGGAGAGCTTCCTCATGCCATCATGGCTTGGACATGAGCCTGCAGTATTGTTTGGGTAGCTGCAGTGGGAACACCAGTTGTTTGTTTAGTTTTGTTTTTGAGCCAAGGTTTTGCAGTGCTACCAAGCTAGTCTTACATTCCTGAGCTTAAGCAATCCTGCCTCAGCCTCCTGATTGTGGAACTATTAAGTGTGTTCCCCGTGCCTGAGTAAGATCATTGTTTAATGCTCCTCTCACCAAATGACTCAAAATTAACACTCAAAAGTTAATGTGGTTAATTTGCTACCCTGAGACCCTTTATTGTAGTCTGACCTTGATTTGTGTTTTAAAAGTATTTTTGGTGCTAGTAATTGAATCCAAGGCCTCACACATGCTAAGTATACACTCTGACTGAGATACACATCCAGCTCTAAGAATATAAAAGTGACAGGAGTGTTTTGAGTGATAACCTCAAGTTATAAATCACCTTCTACTTCCATTTCTGTTTCCATTCATCTCACAGTGAACACAACATCTCTTTGCTGGGGATCTTAAATGATTCAGGTATTGTTAAATAAATTTGGTGTTCCCTAGTTTACTTTTAGCTTTCTGAAATTAACAGTCTCAATGACAGGATATTAAGAATATCTACATAAAATAATGATATGCAAAGATCCCACCAAAAAAATCTACTTATGAAGGCATATAAGATCTGGCAACGGAGTATGGAATCAGGTGTAAACCTGTGGAGGAAAGCATACTTTAGATCAAACTTAGTTGAATTTCTTTCTGTTCAATTTGCCATGAGAAGTTACACTGCCTGCTGTGCTGCAGAGCTATCATGCGAGATAAAATTTACAAGGATAGCATGAAGCAGAAGGGCCTGTATTTTGATTGAAGGGGGGATGGAAGAATTCAGACAGAGGAAACCATCATGTGGTGGCATACACTTGTAATCCCAGCACACAAGAGGCTGAGGGAGGAAAATCACTGAGTTTGAGGCCAGCGTGGGCTACATAGTGAATTCAAAGCTGGCCTGAACTACATAGTGAAACTCTCTCAAAAAACCAAAACCAAAACACCCAGCATATATATAGATCATCTCAGTAATATTACAAAGAAACTATTAAAGGCACCTTAGTAATGCTATATTCCACCAAATCTGAAACTATTTCTCTTTCTCTGCTACCTCCCCACCACCCTTCCTCTTGCCTTTCCTGTTCCCCTTCATCTTCTTCTTTTTCTTTGTCTTCCAACACCTCATATTGAACTCAGTGATTTCACACTGAGCAATATCCCCATTCCTTTTTTTAAAAGTGTTTTATTTTGAGTCAGGGCCTCACTAAGTAGCCTAAGCTAGACTTGAATTCACAATCCTTTTAACCCCCCAGTGTCTAAGATTACAAATGTGTTGCACTACATGTGGCTTAAAATATTTATTTTATTCAATAGTGAATTCCTTAAGTATAGGACCAGTGTGACACACAAATTTATTAACAGAGATTTCACTGAACAGCATCTCCTTCCAGAATTGTCCAAGAAGAAAACCTCACAAACCTAATGGGAAGAAAGCACCTGTGCAGCTGAGTAACAGCAATTTCTCTGTAAATGAAGTTTTTATGCCAACAAGAAGAAACATAAGGCAACAGAAAGGTGAACTCATTTGTGTGTATGGTACTGGAGACACCACCCATGGCCTTTGCACTGAGCTACCTCTTTACCCTTTTGTGTTTTGAGACAGGATTTGTTAAGTTGGTAAAGTACTCAGGCTGGGTTTGAGTTTGTGATTCTCCTGCACCACCTCTCCCAGACTGCTGGAGTAAGGTGAGAGCCACCCAGCAGAAGGAGATACTT